CTGGCTTGCATGCATGACTGATATGATAAGGGCATTTATTCTTGTTAGCTTAGAGCCAAATAACCTACCTAGAAGATTATCCATTGTTAAACCCCTTTGAGCCTGAGACCAATTGTTCAAACACCTATTGAATGTTGCTTAACTATGTTCCATTGACACACCTTGAGAGAGATTGAAATGCTAATTACAAAAACAAAAATCAAGGTCCTTTTCAGAGAAGAAAAAGTTAAGTAAAAGAAAAAGAGGAATGGTCTGAGAAGTTAAAATATAGCTCAGAACAGAAAAGAAAACAAAAAGAAGAAAGACACTGAAAAAGGGAAAAGAATCCCAAAGATGTCAAAATGACAGAATTGAAGAGCTGAGAAGGAATGAATGTAAACAAATCTTAGGATTTCAGTCTCTCCAAATTAATCAGCCTCTAACCAAAAGATTCTTACCCCCAAACCAGGCCAAGTTACAACCTATCAAAGACCTTTTGATCAGTCTATGCATGGCAAATGGGTTCCTCACTTTTAAGAACTTGAGAATATGTTCAAGATCATAGAATTGCTGCTACATTGATGGAATGAGTGCAGAGACCTCAGACACTGAGTGATGAGAATGTATTTATCTGGTGAGGAATATCCAAGCTAGGATCCAAGATCTTGATACAACTGAAGAGCATTATTGTGAATTTTATACCAGGCAGTTATACATGCATAACATTTTGATTTCTTGAGATGTTTATGTTCATGTGTTTCTTCACAGAGTTAATCTTGCTCTTCTCTTTAATCCATTACATTGCTGAGGACAACAACGTTCAAATCTGGGAATTGTTTGATGTGCCTTCAACACATGGGTAAATTCAAGCCAAAAAGAGAAAGATTATGAGTTAATTCTCAATAAAAAGGCAACGTTTAGTGTTGCTTTGCTTAAATTCCAATTTCGGAATTGTACAACTGATTTTATGCTTAACTTGTAGGAAAAACAAACAAATCTGGAGCAAAATGAGGATTTGCCAAAGTAAAGACCCACGCTCACAGCGTGGATGTCACGCTGGTAGCGTGGGAATCCAGAGGCAATCACGCCCACAACGTGGATTCCACGCTGATAGCGTGAAAAATTTCCTTCTTCCCACGCCCACAGCGTGGATATCAAGCTGACAGCGTGGGCATCCAGAGGCATCCACGCCCACAGCGTGGATCTGACGCTGAGAGCGTCAGCGTGCGAGATTGCAATTCTATTTTGTCCAAAAGGGTAGATTTGGAAGACCTAAAAGAGTATTATAAAAAGGAGGCTCAGCACAGAATTAGGTATTCTGGACCTAAGGAGACCGTCGTGCGTCAGAAGGAGAGCTCCGGAGAGAAATTCTTGTTCTTGTTCTTCTTCTTCTTTTACTTTATGTTTTTATGAATATTGGATTTTTAGCCATGAATATGTTTGGCTAGTTTTTCTTTTATTGTAGTTAGGGTTACAAACCCTATGTGAACCCTTGTTACGCGGATTGATTTATAATTGCTCGTTTATCTAATTATCTTTATCTCTACCTTGTTCGTATTTGATATTTTCTTTATTAGAATTGATCACTCTAATAGTTGATAATAGTCTGAGGGTTAGAACCCTAGATAGGGATATTGGGGTTTTCATCCTAAAAGGGGGTAGGATAACGGTTCGTATGCATGCTAGGAATAGATGTGTATTGAATTGCGGATGCCAAAATTATAGAGTTCATTGCTTAATTTTCATGAGGGGTTGCTAAGGGATTAGGATTCCAATTGGGGATTAAAAGGTTAAATTGCCAAGGGATTGGAATTTAACTAATTATTTTAGATAATAATTTATCCGAGTAATTTTATAAATTAATGTTGTAAATCAATCCAAAGTAAGAAGTGAGGATCATAAGGTAAGTGCGCTCTAGCTACAATACCTTTCTCATATATTTTTAAACCAATTCTCATTGTCATTGTTTTATTTCTCTTAAATAAAATATGAAAACAAGTCTTTATTTCATATTGTTACTCAATGTCATTTCGCAATTTTTCCAACAAAAAAACTCGAGTTTTCCAACTTAAGGGGACTGGTTATTGTAGTACTTGGTTTACAATCCATGTGGAGACGATACTTTACTTACACATTATATTACTTGATCGGTATACTTGCCGGAGAGCATCAATAACCGGGTTATCAGCGGCTCTTCAATCCCCTTAATATACATTGTCGTATCAAAGGCATCCAAATGCACCTGAGGGTCTTGCGTTCCGTCATATTTTGGAATTTCAGACAGATTTAGGTTCTCTGGACATGGTGCATTCACAATTTCGTCCGCGAAAGGGCTGTCATTATATTGCCCCCTATGATACTTCCTCCTGTAGACCCCAGACACATCGTTCGGGTTCGGGTTCAGGTTCGGTCTCTCTTGTTGTCCCCCGTTCTTATTGAGAACTTCGGGTCCTTGATTATGGACCACATTGGGGGTGCTTCTTTGAGGCCGACTTCCGACGTTTCCAACCCCTCTTCCCTGGGCCTGAGCCCCATTAGGGTTCGCCTGGGTGCCTGCAATCCGTAGGTCATTCATGACCCGTGTGATTGCCTGCTCCGGGTTCGGGTTGGTAGCTCGACCCACTCGGGCCTCCAGCTCTCGCATTTGTCTGGCAGCTTCCTCCCTTTCCAGCCTGTGTCTCCTCTCCATCTCTTGCATTCTCCGAAGCACTGCGGCAACTGCCAGATCTGTTACCCGCGAATCAGCAATTACACCAATCGGTGCCTGTGCAGTATCTGCTATTTGTTCCTCCATTGGCTGTAAACCCTGCACGTAAGGAACGTCTTGGTTAACAGCTGGAGTCGATGCCGAATCGGAATGCACATCACTCACGTGCACGACGTCGACATCTATCTGCCGTCCATCCAGAGGATTCTCCCTAATTGGAGAAATAGGCTGGATTCTGGAATTCGATCTCGATGGCTGTCGAAATCCACTTCTTGTTGCTCTCACCATCGTGGCTTTTGATCACGTGGTCGTGGGTTCGGTTCCCCACAGACGGCGCCAATGTTCTGCCTGAAGCAGATATGTCCGACAGAAGGTTGAGTCTTTGACGTTGGATCTAGAACTTTCTCTCTAGATACCTATGAATTAGGTATCTTGGGGACAACTGATCACTACACACTATATGATGGCTTTAGCCAGAAGGGGTGTGTGTGTGCACTGTCGTGTCTCGAATGAAATAGGGTTTGAGAGATCAGTCATACCTGTGGTCTTTAGTCCTATGTATAGAGCTTACCTCTGGGCTGACGTTGGTTGTGCTTCATGCTGCTGTGGGCTTTCCTCTGGTCCATAACAACTAGGTCAACCAAAGCTGAAATAAACTTTACAAGAGAATATCATCCATAAAAATATCTTTAAACCACCATCAAGACAAGGGTTGGTACTAATTGCCACCTAAAATAAATATATTATTTTATTATATTTTAAAAATTAAATAGGCCAGCCTACAAGACTTTAGGCTAGGCTTGACAAAATTAGCCTGCGGTCTATTTGTTGAAAAAGCTTTCTTATAAGCATAAGCCTACTCTACTTTTCAACGTAGGCCAGGTTAGGTCAGGCTCAACGTAGGCAGGACTGTAGGCTAGGTCAGACCAATCTGACTCATTTACACCCTTAATTAGAAGGAACTTTGGTACTCGATTGAAGTTTTATGCAAATGAACATCATAATTTTTATACTAACATCACCTATCAATGAAATTCACAGACACTTCGCTGTGACTCTCTTTCTTATCTGTTTAGGTTCTCTCTCACACACACTACCATCCCTGATGGAGCGTTTCTCTTACGGTGCCGGAGCATGTCGCTCCTTCCCAAAAATAGAAAACAAAGAGAATTAAATGAGAAATATAAGAAAAGGAAAAGGTTTAAGGGTAAATTTTTTGGGATAGGATATTGTGACACCCAAGTTATGTTACACCCATGTGACACCCAATCAATCTCACCGTTAGATCGCTTATGTTGATCCAACGGTTATATTTATTTCCAGCTTTGTATGGTCATGATTTCCCAAATTTAAAGTGAAAGCATTAAATATGGGAAATCATAACCATACAAATGTAGAAATAAATATAACATATTAAATTTGGGAAATCGTGACCATACAAAGATGGAAATAAATATAACCGTTGGATCAACATAAGCGATCTAACGGTGAGATTGACTGGGTGTCACATGGATGTAACATAACTTGGGTGTCACAATATCCTATAGGGCTGGCAATATGGGCCAGCCCGTCCCGGCCCGCCCCGGCCCGCCGCTAGCCCGTCCAAAATGGGCTGGCCCGCCCCGGCCCGTTTTGACAAAATGGGTTGAATTGAGTAACCCGGCCCGTTTTATGAGTGGGCTGGCGGGCTACGGGCCAGCCCGCCTAAAATAAAAAAAATAAAAAAATAAAATACAAAAAATTAAATTCTGCATAAAATCACATAAAAAAATCTGCATAAAAGCATACAAAAATCTGTATAAAATCCTAATATGCTTATGAAACCAAGAAGATCAGTGTTTAATAATCTGCATATAAATATGCATCTTTCAATCCAAAAATAATAATAAAAAAATAAAATCATATCAGGATAAAATAGAATAACAAAACAAGTAACAAAGTGTTGTATGAGCAGTCCACAACAATTCAAAAAAGCCACTTGCAAGCAGAGAAATCTAAGATACGGAGCTACATAACAATTGGGTAACCTAAAAAAAAAAAAAAAAATGACTTGGCGGGCTGACCCATATGGGCTGGCGGGTTTGGCGGGGCGGGTTTGGCGGGCTGGTGGGTTAAAAGACTCAACCCAGCCCGCCCCATTTGGCAGGCGGGGCGGGCCAGCCCGGCGGGCTCAGCCCATTTTGCCGGCCCTAATATCCTATCCCAATTTTTTTTACCAAAAAAGAAAAAGGACCACAAACAAATTTGATAGTCCCGGAATATTTTAAAAATGTCCTCCCTGATGAGTGAGTGGTGTCGCTAACTTGCCACATAAAATTACAGACACACTCTCTCACTCTCTCTCGCTTAAGAGTGTGTGTAGAAAATGAAAATGCTATCCGCTCTTCAAACCCCGGCCTCTTTATCTCGCTTCTCTCTCTTCCGTCCTTCAAACCCCTTCACTTCACGCACTCTCCCTCACGCCTCTCTCTCCGACGCAACCACCACCGCACCGCCACAATCCCAAATCCTCTCCATCCGCCACTCCCTCCTCTCCGGCAACCTCACCGCCGCCGACCTCGTCAACTCTTATCTCAACCGCCTCCGCCTCGCCGAGCCCCACCTTCGCTCCTTCCTCCACATACCCGATGACGCCGCCCTCCTCGCCCAAGCGCGCGACCTCGACGCCAGAATCGCCGCCGGCCAGGAACTCGGTCCCTTGGCTGGCGTCCTCGTCGCCGTCAAGGATAACATCTGCACCGCCGACATGCCCTCCACCGCCGGCTCCCGCATCCTCGATGGATACCAGCCGCCGTTTGATGCCACCGTCGTCAAGAGAGTGAAGGAGTTGGGTGGCATTGTTGTTGGCAAGACCAATTTGGATGAGTTTGGTATGGGCAGCACCACTGAAGGATCTGCATTTCAGGTTTTTTGTTTTTTGTTTTAGGGTTTATTTGAAGTTCATTTTTTTTTTCATATTCCCTAGATTAAATAATCATTCATAGTGAATTTGATTATGCTACCTTTTTATTTTAAATATTCATTTTTGACTATATGTTGAACAGCATTTCATTGTGTTGTGTTTTTCCAGTTTGGATGAGCACTCAATCCGAATTAAATTGTACTCTTTTTTTTTTTTTGGGGGGGGGGGGGGGATATTTTATTGTTGGAGTTTTCAAATTGGAAGATGATGATTATTGATGATCCACGTGGCTAACGCGGCACGTGTTGAGTGGGTTGATGTAAGAGCATTGTGTTATGCTATGTGTATATAAGAAGGTTTAGTTTGTATTACTATCATTAGTAATGAATGTGAGGAGAGTTGACTTTATGTGGTTGCTTGTTTCTGTCATCTTGTGTTTAGGAGTTGAATTGTTGATTTCCTCTTCTATTTTGAAAGCAGGACTTCAGCATTAGTTTGGGAAAGAAAATGAGAGGAATGAAAATTTTCAATGAATGACATGATGGATACGTATAATGATGCATTGCTGATTTTCATTCCTCTTGATTTCTTCCCTTTTTTGTTTTTACAAAATTAAAAAGGGGTTTGTGTTGGCTCTGTCACACCTGTGGGTTGGCTAAGCTTCTAAGTTCTATCTTGTTTGGTTTCTAGCTTTGTTACTTATATTGCCCATGTATAACTGGGATTGGTTTACTCAGGTGGTACATATGTTCATTCAATAGGTGACTGCCAACCCATGGGATATTTCTAGGGTGCCAGGAGGGTCGTCAGGAGGATCAGCAGCTGCAGTTTCTGCCAGACAGTGTGTTGTATCGTTGGGAAGTGATACTGGTGGAAGTGTGAGGCAGCCAGCATCTTTTTGTGGTGTTGTAGGCTTGAAGCCAACATATGGGCGTGTCTCAAGATTTGGACTTATGGCGTATGCATCATCACTTGATGCTGTTGGCTGCTTTGGTTCATCAGTTGCTGATACTGGGGTTCTCCTTCATGCAATTGCTGGTTATGATAGATTTGATGCCACCTCAAGTAAGCAGGTAAGATATATTCATCATGTTTGATATAATTGTTGTAAGCCATCTATTTCTCATTATTAGCAAGGGTTATTAACGAAGTTTGGTATAATCTATGTCGCAATAAGATGGGTAATTTCTGAAATCATTACAATTGTTTATTTATTTATTTTTTGTTATTAGGCCAACTTCTTTTCAATAATGAATAATTTCATTTGTCAGGATGTACCCAACTTTCTATCTCATTTTGTCTCTGCAAGTGCCTTGGAAAGTAAGCCCTTGAAGGGACTGAGAGTTGGTATAATCCATGAAACTATTGAAGATGGTGTTGATGCCGGAGTAAGTTCTGCAATTCGTGCTGCTGGTTTGCATTTGGAGGAATTAGGATGCTCTGTGAATGAGGTCCTTCTCATCATTTTTCTCTCTAATTTTGCACTGAATGATAACTTCTACAGGTGCTTTACAAGTTTATATTATTACAATTTATATCTTCAGTATGTACTTTTCTTTTGCCCATTAACTGACAGGTCTCACTGCCATCCTTTTCCCTTGGGTTGCCAGCCTACTATATCCTTGCTTCGTCTGAATCATCTTCCAACTTGTCACGCTATGATGGTATCAGGTCAGTGGCTGACTCCTCCCCCCTCTCCCCAAATAGACACACAACTTACCTCTATGTTTTGATTTGTTTTGTGTTCTTTATTTCCATTGATAAACCATTTAGCCAGGCTTGAACTGTTTTTGTCTATATCTATAGATATGGAAACCAAGTTTATGCGGATGAGCTAGAATTGCTTTATGGAGACTCTCGCGCTAAAGGGTTTGGTTCTGAGGTACACACCTTTCAATCCTCCTTAATTTCAATTTTGGCTACAAGATGTGTGGCAGCTTTAGGCATACCTATGTAAAAAAAAAATGGTCCGAATTTGTCTATATTGCTATTTTAAGCTAGACTTTCAATTTTAAATACATTTCAGGTCAAAATGAGAATTTTGATGGGGACATATGCTCTTTCAGCTGGTTACTATGACGCATATTACAAGCGTGCACAACAGGTACTACTATCATTATTTTATGTATTTTTTGGTGGGTCTGATCTATATATTAAGTTTTAATCTAATAATTATGAGTTCAGTTTCATGGGACCCGTGTAAATACATGTTGCTTTAAGATTTTCCAAGTTTCAAGATTTAATCATTCCACAATGTATGACTAGTTCTTTAGACTTTATGTGTGTTCTAGAATCTGTAGTTACTAAGCATGTCTCTTGCTCCATTTCCTAGGATTGTGTTGTAAATATGGAAGATATTTGCTATTGTTTGTTTCCTTTATTGGCCAGATTTTGTTTCCTTATTTCTTAGGATTTGGGTTTATTCCTTTAGGCCCATTAGTTTCTCTATAAATATTGTAACCCTTTGTACCCATGTTTTTATGAAAACAATAATATTTTACCAGTTTTTCTCCTTTCAAGTTGGTATCAGAGCTCCAATCTTGGAGCCTATGCTTCCGCTAAACCCTTAGTCTGCCTTCAGAGCAGTTGTCTGCCTCTAGTCGCTGCCTAACATGTGGGACTGTTCTTTGCCTTTAGTGCGCTTTTCACTAGTCGTGCTTTGATTGTGTCAGTTATGGTCCCATTCCAGTCGCTGCCATAGTCGTCAGATGCCATTAGCCACCGTCAATCATCACTGAAAAATTTGTCACGTGACGTTTCTGACCCATCCTCTCTTTAGATTTGCCTTCACTTCGTTCAACGGACATCATTTGGATAGCATATTCTAGTTTTTTTGGCTTTCTTGAACCTCCATTACGCAGATCTGACCTTTCCATTGCTGATTGAGGTTCTTGGAGACTTCATTGACTTCCATGGTAATTATCCACACTTTTATTGTGCTGCCTTCTTTTTTCGTTCATGGGATGTTCGTGCATCCATTGGAAGGGGTCTAGAGACACAAAAGACATGTGCTTTATCCTTTATGGGAAGCAATAGGTTCTAGACAAGTTGGGTAAAGCATCCCCATATGTGACTATTCAACGAGGAGAGTTGGAGCAAATTAAGGCTATTGCTGATACTTTTAGTAAGTCTCATTACACTTGTTCTTTAGCTATGTCTAAGATTCGCACGGATCCATTCAGCCAGGGGTAACGTTAGGAATCCGTCCGGGATGGAGCCACAAAACCAAGCATTCCAGATTGAAAAGGCGAATTTGCAGTCACAGAGAACGTGGATAATGGACTCCACCTTGTTAGCACAAGCATAGCAGAAAGGAGAACCTCCCCATCTGGAAGTGATCTCCCTAGCAAGAATACGACCATGATAAATCAGCCAGACAAAGTTACAGATTCGTTGTGGGCCTCTCCGTTTCTAGATGAGGTTCCATAGTCTATCCGGCATGAGCGTATCAAAATTCATGAGCTTTGAATAGGCATAGCTGACTATATTCTTTTGGCCAATACAGTCTTTCCATGTCAAACGATCTTCTCCCCTAAAATCCTGGGGTGGGATGATAGCCCGAATAGCTTGAATGGCCTCCAATGGGAGATATTGATTCATTAAGTCAATCCGCCACCCTCTGGACTCGTCTTCGACCATATGGGATGCCCGAAGGCCCAGGTCAATTGAACTGGGGTTAGTTGTCACTACTTCCAAAAGAGGTTTGTTAAGGGGAGTCCAGATATCCTGCCAAAATAGGATCTCTTTGCCATTACGGATGTCCAATTGAAGATTAAGAAGGAAATCTTTCCAGATGTGACCAATACCTTTCCATAAACTTGAATCATAATTTTGAACCTTTATATCTCTGCGAAGGTCCATCTTTCGAAGGTATTTGCCTTTCAGCACTTGCACCCAGAGAGAATCAGTATCATTAATAATTCTCCATGCAACCTTGGCCAAAAAGGCATTATTGTGGACTTTGAGATTATGGATTCCAAGTCCTCCAACGTTCCTAGGTCTGCACAACTTATCCCACGAGATTAGGTGCACCCGTTTCTTGTCTATAGCATCCCCCCAAATGAAAGTGCGTTGAATCTTCTCCACTTCCTCACACACCGCTGCTGGTAGGGTCCCATGTTGCATATGGTATACAGGAATGGAGCTCATAACCGAATTCGCTAGAGTTACACGTCCAGCAAAGGATAGAAGTTGACACTTCCAGTTAGATAGCCTGGTTCTGGCACGATCAATGACGTTGGAATAGTTCCTCCTCCTACCTCGACCATGAAACAACGTTGCTCCCAGGTATTTGCCAAGCGAGTTAGCAACTTTGAAGCCACCAGCCTGGGATATGGTCTCTTTAACAGTGGGGTTAACATTCCTGAAAAAATACATCTCTGTTTTTTCAATACTGACCATTTGGCCCGACATGTCGCAGAAATCCTTCAAACAATCCAACATCACCCCAAGTTGCTCCACGGAAGCTTCTCCAAAGAGAAGGAGATCATCAGCGAACATAAGGTGGGATATAGAAGGCCCATTTGTACCGACTTTAATTGGCTTCCACTTCTGGCCAGATACAGCTTCAGCTATCAAATGTGACAGCTTGTCCATACAAAGCACGAAGATGTAAGGAGAAATAGGATATCCCTGCCTAATTCCCCTGGTATCCGCAAATTGCTCTGATTTTCCACCATTCAACAGAACCTGATACTTAGGAGAGGATACACAGTAATGGATAATAGTAACCAAGTTGGGTGGGATACCTGCTTCCAACAGAACGGAATTGATGAAGGACCAGTTTAAGCGGTCGTATGCTTTAGCCAGATCTATCTTGATGGACATGAAGGCCTTTTTACCCTTCATTCTATTCATGGAATGGGTCAATTCCTGGGCTATGATGACATTGTCATGGATTAGCCGACCAGGAACGAAACTGGTTTGAGAGGGAGAAACGAGTTTGTTCATTATAGGTTTCAAGCGGTTCACCAAGGATTTAGTAATCATCTTAAAAAGCACGTTGCACAGTGCTATCGGGCGAAATTGCTCCACCCTCTCCGGTTTGTCCACCTTCGGGATCAACACCAGAAGTGTCTCATTTATCTTTACAATCTCAGAAGGGTTGAGGAAAAAATTTCTGATATCGTTGCAAACCTTGTCGGAGAGAAAAGTCCAGTTCTTCTGATAGAATACCGCCGGGAAACCATCCGGTCCAGGCGCTTTGTGAGCTCCCATCTAGAAGAGGGCCTTCGATATTTCACTGTCTGAGATGGGACTATTCAGTTGTTGCACCTCTTCAGACTCCAGAAGTGGCCAGTTAACCAAGGTAGTCTTCCAAGGACGTACCCCCTGGTCTTCAGAAAAGAGCTATTGATAGAAATTGGTCACCAGATTTTTTAGGACAGACTCATTTCTTATCCAAATGCCTGCATCATTTTTTAAGGCACGGATTGAATTCCTCCTTCTCCTCGTGATGGCAGTGGTGTGATAGAATTTGGTGTTTCTATCTCCATCACGAATCCAGTTGGCCCTAGCCTTATGATACCAAAGTTGTTCTTCCATGTCTAGAATTTTTTTCAGCTCATTACTAAGGTTCTTCTCCAGTTGTTCCAATTGCCAGTTGTGACCCCTCTCTAGTGCGCGTTGTATGCCAGCCAGACGACGCAAAATAGAGGATTTTTTTGTAGAAATAATACCAAATACATTCGTATTCCACTCCCGCAGAGAAGGAGTAAGCTTAGCTAGGTTGAGGGCAATATCTGCATCGTTCCTCCAGTTGAAAGCAAGGAATTCTTTGAATTGGGAATGGTCCAACCAAGGGGGGAATAGGCGAAACGGTCTATCCTCACATCTCCTGGAATCATCACACAAAGTCAGCAAAAGTGGGTTATGATCAGAAAAGGTTCTAGGGATAACATGCACAGTTGCTTCATCGAAAAGGGTTCTCCAATGGGCATTGGCAACTGCCCTATCTAGCCGTTTGAATACACGATCTAAATGGGCAAACTTTGGGCCCTTCCAGGTATAGAAAGGTTCTGAGCCACCAAGATCAATCAAATTGCACTCCTCAAGCACCGATGCGAAGGCTTTGCATCTATTGTAATCGACTGGGGCCCCTCCTTTCTATTCCCCAGCTGAGGTAATTTCGTTCCAGTCTCCTGCTAAGAGCCAAGGTTCTTTGTACACCGACTGGAGACGTCTCAGATCATCCCACAGTTCAACTCTTTTTTCTATTCTAGGGCTAGCATAGATAGCCGAGAACAAGAAAGGAAGTTTATCAGGAATGGAGATCTGCATCATCACAAATTGTGAGCTCTTCTCTATAAGTTTAACCGATACAAAATGATTATTCCACAGCACCCATATGCCACCAGAAAAACCCACTGCCTCTTCAACTATGGCTTCCTCAAAACCCAAGCTACTAATAATTGCAGCAGCTCGCGATCCACTAATTCTAGGTTCCATCAACACAACCATATCACATTTAAACTTCTTATTTAAAGTTCCCATGATACCTTTAAAACGTTTTTTTGCAGCACCACGACAGTTCCAAACAAGAATATTCATTAAATAACTGATGGGGTTGGGATGGACTCCTGGGTTCCATCATTCCCATTATCTTTACGGCCGACAAGAGATTGCATATGTCTACCCAGCAAGGGGTTTCTGGTGGGACTATTGCTACGAGATCTGTGGGCATAGTTGATGCCTTTGGTATAATCTCCTGGGTCATCTATGGGCTCAGGTATCATTTCATCAGAGCCAATAGATTTTTTATTACCTTTCTGCATGCTCTTGGTGACGTCATTAAGGACTCTTTCATCCTGTTCTTTGGACATATATCTCATGACAGCTAAAATATCTTCTTCCCTTCGTTTGTTTTCTACCAAAACTGCCTCCTGACGAACGTCTTCCACTGGGAGAGGTCCCATTTCAACAATTTTAGTCTGTCTCCATGTGGGGGAACCTCTTGGGCCCTCTGGCCCTTGTCAGCAGCCAACACTATAGCTTTTTCTAGGTTCTCTTTTTTTCTTTCACCTTTTTGCCCATACTGGTGCCCACTTTTTGGTTTGCCTTTCGGTTTACTACCCAAAACATGAATAGCTTTCTCCATCATAGGTTGCTTTCCTCGTACCCTTTTTGTCGGCAAGAGATTAGTCAACTCCTTGAGGGGAGTAGCTTTCTGTACTTTCTGGACCCTTACTTCCTGCATGCATGAGTCCTCCTGTGCCTCTTGATCAGTCAAAGCTGCAAACCTAGATCTGACCTTCCCCTCGGTATTCCCACTGACTACTCTAACCCTCTGGTTATTGACTCTTGTGGATTGTCTCGCCGGAACCCTAGGGTGCGGCTCTTGCTGCGGCTGAGGGGAAACTTTGGGTTTACGACCTCTTCCATATTTTTGCACTACCATCCAAGTGCCAAAAGCATTTGTGTCTTCTTTCACCTCCTTTGTTGGCCTATTATCCGAATTGGAGCTCCTCTGTTCTAGAGGTGCAGGTTGTTCTCCACCCTTTTGGTGTGTCTCTAGGTTGATTCCTCCACTGCAAGCTTCCTGGCGATGGCCGTATCTACCACAGCCAAAACAAATCAGGTGTAGCCCTTCATAGGCTACATTAAGGGTCTTGCCCAGAACGTGAAACTGGGATACGAAGCTCTTTCTCAGGTCTACCTCGACACATAACCTTGCATATTTTCCCTTCTCGGTATACTCTCCTAATCCCCCATCAGACTTCCTAAGAGAGTTTTGGTCTACTTTAAGCGTTCTTCCAATCAAGTTACCTATCCTCCATAGATGCTTTGAGGTGTAGATCTCCATAGGTAACCCAGGGATACGAACCCATACAGCAAGCCTCTTAAAATTTTCTTCATACGGGTCAAACATAGGCCTCCAACGTTGAACAACCACATAATGTTCCACTACCACCCAAGGGCCCTCATGGAGCACGTGGAAGTAATCTTTCTCTACAAGGAATATGATTAAGATATAACCATTATCCAAGTCAATGACATTGAAGGTACCAGATAAGCACCATTGCTTTATAAGCCTCGTAATGAGAAACCTGTTGTCGATTTTCTTCCCCAACAATTTGATTATCAGATCTGATCTCCACTTTTTGCAATCCTCCATGTGCTCACTCTTGGAGATATGGTACACAGGACACAGCGGGTTCGCTTGGTAGGTAGGCACTTCCTCCTCCACCGGATCTGCCTCCTCCTCCTCTCTCCTGAGGGAGGTTATCCAGTCCTCCTCATCACTGTGTGTTCCGTCATCCTCTCCATTTAGTTGAAGCACCATGTGTTTGTAGGAGACAAGTCTCTTCCCAGGCATGGGGTGCTGACTCGGAGGATGAGTTTAATCTGGCTCAGGGACAAGGCATACCTCCGATGCAGCGAGCATCTCAGCATCCTTGTCCTGAAGTGCTTTGCCCATTGACGAATCAGCAGGGTCATTCTCTTTTGCCTTTTTAACACTTCGCTCCAGCAAGTCGGTCTCCTCCCTTCCACTCTCCCTGCTCTCACTTACTTCCTCCATCAACGTCGTTTGACCTATCTTTTCTTTATATGGATTATGAATTTTGGTGCAACTGATCATATGACTTGTCTAACTGAGTTGTTTCTTTAATATCACCCTACTATTGATATCCATACTATAATTGTAGCTGATGGATCCCACAAATCAATTGTGGGTTCTGGTAACATTCAAATTCAACCCTCCTTGTTTCTAAAAAATGTTCTTCATGTTCCTTAGCTCTCCACCAATCTTATCTCCACTTATAAGCTACAATTGACTTGAGTTGTGTTGTCACAGTTTTTCCTATTCATTGTGTTATTCAGGATCTCACCACGGGGAGGACAGTTAGAGTGGGTTTATTCTTTTAGGCGCATTAGTTTCTCTATAAATATTGTAACCTTTTGCACCTATGTTTTTATGAAAGCAATAATATTTTACTAGTTTTTCTCCTTTCAAGTGATTATTGTCATATTGATGTTCTGAATTTCATATTTGTCCTGAGGTTTAGGATCTTCAAGAAGATATTTATGATTGTTATGATATAGGTGAGGACCATAATTAGGAATAGCTTTAAGGAGGCACTGAATCAAAATGACATCCTGATATCCCCTGCAGCACCTTCAGCTGCTTATAAAATTGGTAAGCATCTACATCTCTTTGCCTTTGCATTGTTGCACTTTAGTGCCTGCAGTGTTAATTGTTTCACTGCCTTTGACATTTTCAGGTGAAAAGAAAAATGATCCTTTGGCTATGTATGCTGGTGATATTATGACTGTAAGCATTTCATTATTTTTTTGAGCTAGATTTCTGTCTCATACTTCTGATAGCAGACAAATAGTGTTAGTATGAGGTCTTGACTTACACAAGTGTTATTGGACTTCAACTCAACTAATTTCAAGCTTGAGTAGTGCATGAACTACTAAAGCTTGAATAGCCTTGATCCCTTTAGCAGACCACAGAACTGTTGGTGATCAGATCTGGTGAAAATTGTAGGTTATGCCTTAGATATTTAATCTAGATGGATGCAAACCAATCCAAGAACTATCTTTGCTAATCATTAACTGCGGGGTCGGTTGCATTGCATGTGTTGTCCTCCAACTTGTGCCAATTATATAGTATTGTGAGTTCTAGATACTCCGCAAGGGAAGTTCCTGGTGGAATTAATACACCATTGAGTGTAACTAAATATGAACCCAATGGTTAAGAGCTTGATCTTCTTTTGTATTGTTTGAAGTTTGATTTCTAGCAACTTCATATACGTTAACATGTCAAGCATAATGTTTGCTCTTCCTTATTTGTGTTTTTTGTTTTCAACAGGTAAATGTTAACCTAGCTGGACTACCTGCCTTGGTTTTGCCATGTGGATTTGTTGAAGGTGGGCCTGCAGGCCTTCCAGTTGGCCTGCAAATGATTGGTTCAGCATTTGATGAGGTATTGAATTTTCCTATCCACTACATTGAACTCCTTGTTAACGGAGGTCTCTATGTTGCCTCTAATTTTGTTTTCTTTTAGTCTGTAAAGAACTAATTCAACCCAAAAGCTTAAGCTGTTGGGTGAGGCTACATTAATTGTTTTATATATCTCAACACGTCCCCTCACACGAGAGCCCACTGGGCTTGAAGGGTGGACAATGCACAGGCCCACCTACCTGTGCGAACAAAGAAATTCCACTTGAAAGAAAGTGGGGGGCGGCGAGGATCGAACCCGGTACACCGAGGCTCTGATACCATGTAAAGAACCACTTCAACCCAAAACCTTAAGGTATTAGGTGAGGCTACATTAATGGTTTTATATATCTCAACATAGTCTTCATTTCTTACAAATATAAAAGAGGGGAGATGGGGATGACTGGCTTTTTGACCCTTATAACTCTTTATTAATAATTAATTATCAAATTGACCTTCATTATAAACTATTTCGAAAATTTAACCTCCCCAGAAAACATAACACCAATCTGCCCCTGTTTGACCGTTGACCACCATGCCTTACCCGGGTACACCACTCCCTACCCGGGTAGGGAAGGGTATACCCGGGTATTTTTTTTGACATTTGGGAAATTGCTTGAATTATTTACCCGGGTAGGGAGGGGTGTACCCGGGTAAATAAGTCTCGTCCCAATTAAAAAGTGTGACCTTTGCACTCCATCCTTTAGTATAGTCTGTATATACTTGCTGCTCCCTTGACCGTTGTTATGTTGCACACAACCTGCCAACTGGCTACTACAGTTTTGTTCAATGGTAAGCCCGATGAATCAGGATATTCACTAGGACTCACCCGGACTGGAGGGCCACATTTGTAGTTAGGGTTGATTGTACCACTAATCTTCCAGTTCTGTGGCGGTGAAAGTTGGGATCGATTAAGTGCTGGTGGCATTTTGAAGACCTGCACTTGGAATCTTGAAGCTGACATGCTAGGGTCCATCGATGGTGGCAATATGGTACCATTCCGGCAGCAAAACGAAATTTTCCCAAGGATTGAATCATTGAACTTACTGGGAGGGAGATCAATTATGGTTGGCCTTCTTTCACAATTCAATACAGTAGAAAAGTCAAGATCCTGGTAGAACGTATCTTGCTTACCAAAGAGACATTCAGAAGAATCCACAACAGATGGATAAGCCCCTTTCATTGTGTATATAAACTCATCATTCATTTAATCCCAGCTTAACCTCCACTTATCAAGATTGCCAAGGGGGTTATGGTTTGCAATATTAACCTCTGCCCAGTAATTGGAATCATAAGTTCTGGTAGAGATTTACCCAGGTACACCCCTCCCTACTTGGGTAAATAATTCAAGCAATTTTCCAGATGTCAAGAAAAATACCCGGGTATACCCCTCCCTACCCGGGTAGGCATAAATTTTCAAAAAATACCCGGGTAGGGAGTGGTGTACCCGGATAGGCTTGGTGGTCAACAGTCAACAGGGACAGATTAGTGTTACGTTTTATGGGGAGGTTAAATTTTTGAAATAGTTTATAATGAAGGTCAATTTGGTAATTAATTATTAATAAAGGGTTATTAGGGTTAAAAAGCCGGAGATGACCTGTTAGAATTTTGAATTTTTATTTGAAGATGATAATATATAAAATAAGATCAAGGGAAGAAAAATTGCCAACGAGGGTGGGCACTGTTGGTTAAGGATTAGGCTCATACCCCACAAAGGTGTGAGTTTAAATCCCGCCAGCTGATATGAGGACCTCATTCTTGGTGCAATATGTAATCCCTCCTAGAAATCCTAGCCCACAAGGGCTTCTAGAAATCTTCAAAGAGGTTGGGGGATCTATCCTGGCCCTGGTAGAATATTGACATCTAATCCTACCTAAACTTTTATCTGCCCAAAAAAAAGGAAGAAAAATTAGAAAACCGAAGCTTTTGGGCTAATGTAAAATTCTAAAGAATTCAGTTCCTTTTATCCATTGAGTGAGATATTTGTGTAAAAGGTACAGCAAATCACAATGATCTTATGTTTTGATGTTGATTCTCTCTTCTCTTTCTTGGGAGATGTTTTTCAAGGTTTTTTTACCCCTGAATTCTGCATCTCTGTGAGCATGGCTATTATGTATGTGCACAAATTTTGTTTGAAATTTGTTCCTATTATGTGATGCCACTCAAAGAACAGATGCTGGAAAATGAAGTGTGGAGTTTTACTAGTTAAACAGATGTTGAACGGAAAGTACATTTTTTGTACAAACTTACTGAGCTACATGTGGATCAACTTGTCTTGTTAGCTTAAGTTGTAGGATACAATGATTTCATCGTGTTTATATTGACTATTTGCCAAAATTTGATGTTTATAAAAAAATCAGTTTTTTTTTTTTAAATATCAAACAGATTATTGCCCTGTATTAACAGCAAATATAACATACCTATCCAACATTTTTTAGGAAAGAAACAGTTTATCAATTTGGTTTGCTTTGCTTCCAAGACCAAGATTAAACCTTACCATGGCCAAAGTTAATTAATGTGGTCTTATTGATATTTTTTATTGAAAAATCTGGGCCTTAGGCTTTTGGGAAGTTGCATATCTAATAAATTTGGTATTTCATGTTAAAAAAATGTGCTATGTTTTAACTAACCCAAAAGAAAGAAAGAAAAAATGCGTAATGTCTTTGCTTATGAGTCCTACATGTTGACAATGCGCATGAGTATAGTTTTTACATTAAACAATAGATAATCCTTTGACTGGGAATTTGATTGCAGGGAGAGCTGCTGAGAGTGGGACATATCTTTGAGCAAACTCTTGAAAATTGCAGATTTGTTCCACCAATTGTAGCCGATAACATTGCATTCTGAATATAAGTTATCATTCTACATTTTGGTGACCCATAAATAATTTCATTAGTTTCATGACATTGTGGTGGCTGAAGCAGGTATTTTAAGCCAGTTCAGTACATGCTAGTGTGATTCAAATTAGAACTTGAAGGAAAGTATTGGTTTGACACAGGTAATACTTTCTCCAAATGTTTTATTCACACTTGACTGGAACTGGGTTGAGGGATTGCTTGAAAGTTCACTCTTTGAAGTGCCTTTTGATGTTTTGGGTTGGGGGGGTTTGTCACTGGCTATGGTTAGCAATTGTATGAATAATGAATATGTTTTAATCTATTCATTGTACAACTAGCTAGATTGATATAGTGTAAAGGAGCAAATGGCCTATATCGCTTTTACCAAACAATTTGGCCTTTTAATTTATTGCTGAGGATTTCTCTTTTCATTATTAGGTTCTGAAACTTGAATAAGGAATTGATTTGAACTTCTATTCTCTTTTTATACTCGCTTGTATACTAGGCTTCAATCAGTATGCTGTTAAAGTTTACATTGAAATGTGCTTGTAGCCAAGGAAGAACACTTTTGACAGCTCCTAATAGTAAGTACAAAGGGGAACCTTCTTGTTACAATAAGTGTCGGAGTTTAAATTGTTTGTGGGTGTGACTAATCAGAATTTGAAAACAATGTTTACCATTACTTTACCCCACCTAATGTTGTGTGAAAGAGTTCTCATTCCTTGGAAATGGATATTCTCATATGTTGGTTAACATGGTCATGTTATGTGAGAGCATCCTAGTCATATAAGGGTGAATCAACCACGATGATTATGTAACTATTTATTTCAATATTTTTTTCTCTCCTTTCTCTCATCATTATTGATTTATCTTTGTATGATTATGATTCTCTTACTTGATATGATTATATTAACTAATACATGAGAGGATCTTCCTTGATTTGTTACACTGGCAGTGATAAGCAAACTAGCTATACAAGTTTCTTTGTAATCTCTCTTTCGTCCGCAATTTGTGAAAATCATGTTAGTCTTCTTTCTATATTAGTTTATTGTTTAGATAAATTATTCCTTGGAATATGCGGTATGATTTGGCGCGTCAAACAATGACAGATGAATCATAAATTTGTGTGTTTATATAATCAATTTTTGAGTAAAATAAGCATGTTAATATTGTCAAGAGAATTCTTATCAAGTTTCTTTTTGATAAAACGATAGAAATAGTACGAGTAGGTAAAATGTGAGTGATGCTCCTTTGTCGTTTATACTGTAATGATGATCCACGATAAATTTTATAACGTTATGTGTACGATAATATAAATATGCACATGGTAATTCCTTTTAATTGGTGACAAATTGCTCCAATTATGTGTCTTTGTTAGAATGTATTATAAAAAAAGTAAAAGGATTTTATAAAATGAGTGTCTTTAAATTACAAATTCATTTCAATACTTTTTAAAAATGAAAAACACAGAACTTTGGCAATTTTTTTTTGTATTTTATGAATTATATAATCTTTTCATGCGATCTTTTCATATAGGTTTATATAAATTTCTTCTTGTACCTTTATATCTTCATCCTTTATTATACGTTAGCATATACCGATGCCATATATATAAGCAGAAATAATAATAAACAAGTATTATCTTCTTGAGACTGTATACTATATAAAATTGATTTATATGCAGTGAAAGTGCGTGCTTCAAACTCTACCATGTATTCTTTCTTCTACACCATTTCCTTGTAAAATCCGTTACATCAATATCATCTTCTACTCAATTTAGTTGGGCTTGGGATCAATGAACCTAAATAAAAATAAATTGAGGAAAGAGAAATAAATAAATAAAGTAAAAAAAAGCCCAGTGGAATATAAAAAATAACGTGTATGGCTCTACAATGTTATTATATTACGCGGATGTATTGGATTGAGATTTCAAACGATTTTTAATGGATTATTTTTGGACAAAAAAATCTGTTGGTACTCAATTAGGATTTTAAAGGATTGAAAAAAAGTCGCATGGTATTCGATTAGGATTTTAAATGATTATTTTAGAATCCGTCCAAATCCGTTGGTATTCAATCAAGATTTTAAAAATGGAAAAATAATCTTGTGGTATTCAAAAATCTAACGATTTTAATGAATTTTCTATTGGTGTGGATTTCATGAGACTTTTTAGTAAGAAATATAAATAGGATGTCTCTTTCACAATCTCATCCTAACCCCTAGGATTTCTTGAGATTTCTCTAATACAGTGTTTTTTCTTCCTTTGACAGATTGACCTGCTCGAAATCAGGTTCCGCTATGGGAGTTTCGTCAAAACTCAAAAATAGCAAATTTTTGAGTGATTTCCATCATAAAACAACCTAGAAACAACAAATCAACGAGATTTTAATATAATCTATCTCAAAAACAACATATTTTTTAGCCATTTTTGAGAAATTTTGAAAGTTTAAAAAGTGAATTTTCAAGCTATGGGTCGCGGTTTTTCTTGGTACAAAAGTGTGTGATTTTTGTATTAAAAACAACATAAAATAATAGGAAAATAAAATTTTCGTTTTACATCAATGAAACAATATCAATTTAAAGAAAGATTGAAACTTTCATAATATGAATCCTATATTTTGTAATAATACATGAGGAAGATATTGTAACAACCAAGTTATGTTACTACCATGTTACTACCAATCTATCTCACCATTAGATCGATTATGTTGATCCAACGATTATATTTATTTCCACCTTTGTATGGTTATGATTTCCCATATTTAAAGTGAAAGCATTAAATATGGGAAATCATAACCATACAAAGGTGGAAATAAATATAAAGTATTAAATTTAGAAAATCATGATCATACAAATATGGAAATAAATATAATCGTTGGATTAACATAATCGATCTAACGGTGAGATTGATTGGTAGTATTATAGTAGTAACACAACTTGGGTGTTACAATATCCTTCCTCAAAATACATTCATGAATGAAAATTTTTCACTATATGAAACAATTTCAAATATGTTTTGTGTCAATAGATAACTAAAAACTTGTTTTTCAAAAGTCCTAAAGCAATTTAAGGTTTCAATGTATCGATTGAAAAAAATTTGAGAAATTTTCTAAAAATAAAATCCAAAAATTTAGATTCGAAATTTTCTTAGAATTTTAATGAAAATATGCATATGATACATGGTTAGAAAACTCTTATCACGTAGAATAAAAACCCCAAAGTTTTCAAAATCAATTGCAAAAAATTTCAAACGAAATTTTGTCATGAACTTTAGGTTTTATATACAAATTTAGAATTATTTTAATAATTACAAAAAATTTGGTCTTGTAATCATATATACATAGCTTTAATACCCAATGAAGAAGATAATTTTTAACCCATTGGTCAAACTCAAGAGCAAGAACAACAAAATGCTAATGCATGGAGGACTAGTATAATTTTAGATATGTGAAAAGCTATTGCTTAGTAATTTGAATGTTTGTTAAAAATTATATTATGTTTTACTGATTGAGAAAATTATATTATATTTTATTTTTTTATTAATTTCATTGCATTTCTTTGTTATTTTTTTATGGAAAAAATTATACTTACAACCTATTTTTGTTTATAATTTTTTACAACCATATCTTAACCATTGATTTTCGTCAATCAACGGTTATTACTTTTGCAAATCAAACTCATTAATTAATATTTAATTTACAATGAATGATAACTGTTGATTGACAGAAATTAATGGTTAAGATATGGTTGGAAAAAGTTGTAAACAAAAATAGGTTGTAAGTATAACCTTCCTTTTTTTTTCATTAACTCTTGTAATTTTGAATGTTTGTTAAAAATTCATATGATTTTTTAAAATCTTATAAATTCATATTGTCCTTTCAAATCTTATAAATTCATATTGTCCTTTCAAATCTTATAAATTCTATTAAAATCCTTTCAAATGCAATCTTATGAAATCTTGATTGTAAGAAAAGTCTTTTAAAAAAGTCTTTAAAGTCCCTCAAATTCTAAATAATCTTTTAAAATCTATAAGATTTTTTATCTCAAAAAAGTTTTTTTAAATTCTAATCCATTACACTTCCCTAAAAATCAAATAATAAATTGATTAAAAAATGAGTTCGCTTTTTCTGCAGTTATTGCAGATAAGTTATATGCAGTAAGCCCAATACGACGTCGTTTTGGGACAGAATTCATGGTATTTTTGTAATTTTAATTTATTTCAGAGTTATAATAGTCTTTATGTTTATAATCTTTTAAGATTTCAATATCAAAACGACGTCGTTTTGCGAATAAATGCATATAACTTATCTGCATTAATTGCAGAAATATTTTTCCCTTAAAAAATTTGTATGAAATCATTGTGTTAGAAATATATTGTATAATTAGGATTTCCTTATTTATTATGTAATTAGGGTTTCCTTATTTCTTTTATATTAGGTTTGGGCTTAGCCCATTAGAGTGCCTATATATTGTAAATGCTTCTTCATATCAATACACACAACTTATTATTTCAAATGTTCTTCTCTTCTCTCTCATTATTCAACACATTGCACGTATATTTCTTTAATTTTTGTTGGTGATTTCTAAAAAGAAAAAGAGAGGAGAAAAAAAGAAGTAGCAGCGTAGTTAAAAAACGCGGCAGCACACATATATTTATCGGTGCAACGAATTCTAGACCTTTCCACGTTGGTACAACAGTCCCTTACGGCGCATGTTAGCATATCCTAGTCCCAAAGGAAAAGCGCGTGAACTCACGCGCCTGTGGCGTCCTCCTCTTGCAACCGTAGGGCACAAACTCTCTCTTTCTCGTTGTCTCCGTTTCGTTCGTGGCTCAGCTTCCCTTCGATTCACCGACATTCTTGTCCCTTGTTTCGGATCCACCTTCGTTTCGATCAAATCTGTAAGCACAGCCAAGAACTCTCGGTCCCGACATGCATCTGTTTTGAATTAATTGATCTCCTGTTCTGATGATCTGAATGATATTTGATTGTTTTTATTTGATTTTTTTATTGGAAATCGAAACTTTTTTAATTTTGGAAATTACCCTTTTGATAGATTTTAAACGGGGATTTGGGGTTAGTAGGAAGTTCTTATTTTTTTTATTTTTTTTTCTTGATAAATAGCCAAAATCTGAACAAGGAACGTTTTTGTTCTGCTGTTTTTAGTGTTATGAATTAATAAATGTAAAAGGTTAGTGTAATCAAGTTCAAATTTCTTTCTTGTTTTTGAATAGATGGAACCAAATCAACGGTGTTTGCTACCTGTGTGTCGATCGTTGGTTTGGGGTGTTTTTTTATTTTTTATTTTATTTTTTTTGGTGATTTTATTTACTTATTCATGTTCCAAAAAGAAAGAGATGGTATTTTAGTATTAATTATGGTCTTAACTATCTCATGCTCAGCTTACTGTGAAACAGAAATTAGAAGAATTATATATCAGCTTCTTTTAGTTACTTTTCATGGTTATTTTTCTTTTTTAATGAAATTTTGTTGTTTTGTTGTTATTTTGGTTCTCAGTATTACTATGATGAGAAGAGATCAAGTGTCTGCGGGCAAGGCGCCATCCTTGGTTGACCTTTGTGTTCAGAAAGTGATTGATAATATAAGGTACCTTGGAAATGTTGGTTCTGTTGATGATCATCTGCTTGAGCGAATCTTGCCCCATTGCACACTTGACCAGTTGATGCATGTGGAGAAGGCCAGTGAAGTAAGATGGACTTTGTTGCTTTTGTTAACTATGAATGAAGTTAGAACAAGACTAAAATGGTTACCTAATTTGCTTGATGTGCTTTTGCAGGGAAGTGATCTGAGTCCTGTGACTGACAAATTGTGGAAAAAGTTCTTTGAAAAGCAGTTTGGCACAAATTGCACTAATGAAGTTATTCGGAGGATGAGAGAAAAAAGAGTGTCATTTAAATGGATGCAGTTGTATGAGGTAGTTCTGTTTTTTTTTTTTTTTTATTCGTTTGTTGTTTTCATTTTTGTTCTTTCTTTTAGACTCAGTTATATTTTAGATGAAAGGGAAGTATTATATTTAATCTCTCTTTCTTTCTTTTTCCCCAAAAAAAACATCAATTGTCAGTAGTGCTAACTAGGTAACATCCTTACAGGCTGTTAGAATTAAGTACATGTATAATGAATAGTATTAGCTGTTGATTAGCTCTAATTAAGTGATGATTACTGAACATATTATAACTATATTGTATGGACTGATTAGTCACATGGTTTTTCCTCACATCCTCTTCTAATTCTATCCAGGCAAAAGTAAAGGAAATGGATCAGGCTGAGAACGAAGCACTTGACCGAATCAAGAAACTCTACCAGAAAGAAGATGCAAGTATGCCCCTGGCCTCTTTTTCTTTTTATTATTATTATTATTGTTTTTTTTTTGGTGTTTTAGTAGGGGGAGCTTATTTCAGATTTTCTTGCTTTTGATTCTTTGTTTGAGGCGAATGTCTTTTCTTTTACCTTCTTTGTATTTATTTTGTCCTAATAAACATGCTTGTTTTATCCAAAAAAATGATGTAACTATTAATTGCTGATTTGATTTGATGAGCCTTATAGTTGACACCAAATAGCAATGTAGCATTTCTTTCCACCTGCTTAGTTTAAAATAGTTACCAAGTATTTGAACTCTGTAGGAAAACAGAGTAGGCAAGTAAGGATATGCTCCAAAGTTCCACCTTCAAGTAAAAGAAGATTTTGGGGAGGTAACTCTCTGATTTCCTTATGTTTAGTTCACTCACTACTGCACTTTAGTTATGTACGTTTTAAATTGGATCAAGTTAGTAGCTTTTATTTGTTACTTGATAATTGTGAATCTGTTGTAGATAATGGACCTGGATACAATGTATCAAATGTGAAGAGCAACATAATGAAGAAGGCAAAGATAGAATTTCTAAAGTGGTAACTTTCTTTTCTGATCATTTGATGCTTCCAAGGATCTCAAGTCCTACCAAGACTTCAATCTAGTTAAGAAATTGAGCAACCTTCCCCTAGGAGGGGAGGCCAGCTTTTTGATTTGATCAATAGGAAACTACTCTTATCCTTAAGTTTTCTTACTTCATCTTGTTCTTAGATTGGAAACATTCTGGTATAATTCTGTGTTATGATCATGCATATTGAAGGTTATATACTCAACTGTATATTGACTTCAATTTAATTTTTTTTGTGAATTTCTTTCAGTCATGAGGTCAAAAATCTTGCAGCAATGAAGAAAAATTCTATCCAGAGGAGTAGTAGGTACATATAACACCACTTTCGTAGAAACTATTTTATTCACTTTTATCACTACTAAGCTTTGGATTTTGGGTTCACAAGTTTGTATTATATTTAACCCTATTTGCAGTGTTTGTAAATACAGGATCCTAACTGTTAGTTATTGCTTCCAAAAAAAAAAGAAAAATATCTTTCTCTTTTCCCTTCTTGCTCTTTGTTTTCCTCAATAATTCTCATGCTGTTGCTCCTTGTCCTGCAGTTCATCAAGCATCACGAAGACTGGAAGTATTTCTGGAATTGGTTCAACTTCTAAAGATCCCAAATCTTCAAAAAGGAAATTTTAGAGGCAGACTGTGAAAGATAGAAATGCTATGTATCATGATTTGCTTTTAAATTGTGATGATAGTTGCTTTTATTTCCATGCTCAGATAAATTGGCTTCGTTTTCCCAGTAAGCAATTTCACCTATGTTTGCTCGCGTAGATAGCATCAAAGTATGCATGTTAATTATTGTAATATGTTGGATTCCATACACAAATGAAATTGCCGTTCATTTTCATGATCAATATATAGTTTTCTCCTTCGTAGTGTTAACTGATTTTAAGTTATCTACTTGTTTTTCTCAGCCTTGATTCAATGCTATACAATGTATACATGTGAATAATTTTTATGACACCATCCGAGTCAACTAGTTAATTAATTGGATTGGTTGAATCTAAATTAGAAATCCTATTGGTTCATTATTTGATCCAATTTTAACAATATTGATGTACACAAAACTCTGATTTTCACACGTCATCTACCAAAACAACACTAATAAGAGTTGCCCAAAAATTAAGTTGACAAAATAAGGTGCCTTACATGAGGTGGCAGGTCACTCAAATTTTGAATCACATGCCGTTATCTCTGGTTTTACAATTTTTTAAACAAACTAAAATAGTGAGGGAAGATGTCACTACAAGCCTTTTCTATATTTTTTATTTTTTTATTTTTAATCCAAACCAATCTAATCCGATTTGAGAATGTCGGATCCATATTGAGATTGACTCTCCCATCATCAATTTCTTTGTTTTCAGAACTCCAATTAAAAATCCGTGACTAAGGTATCAAACTTCATCACTTAAACTATCGATTATTGTTTATTCATACGATAAATTTGACATCCGTTTAATATTTAGAATAAGTTATTCTACTTATATTTTTTATGCTTACTCTACTTATGTTAGATTAAAATCTAAGTAATCTTTACCATTTCACTCTCCTCATGAGATTCTATAATTTTTATCATTTCTCTCTCTTCTTTTGAGATTCTATTTTAATGGTGTTGGAGATTGATTGGTAGGGTAAGCATGCAAAAAAATAGACATAATATCTCATACTTTGGTACGATAAGCATAAAAAAAAGATAGACATAATATCTCATACTTTAATATTTCAGCCATAAAAAATTAAAAATTTGACTTCAGTTTAATCTTTTGTTAATAATAAGATTAATTTATTTCTTTAATCTCGTAATTTATGGATAAAAAATAATTTACAATATCACTTTTATTATATTAAAAATTAAAATTAATGTTACTTACTTTTATGAATTAAGGTGATTTGAATCTTGTGCGAAAAAAAAAGTGATTTAAATAAATCTTTAAATAACAAAACAGATATATGCTCTTCTTTTTATGAATAAAGTAGAAATAAAAATCGAACTGTTATATCTTTAAAATTCAAAATAGATTTAGTTAATTGAAATTGTGATTTTTTCTGAAATTTAAAGAAAATTCACATTAATCTCTGAAAAGAGTTAATATGAATATATTTTAAATTTAAAAAAAATTACGAGTCGATTTTTCTTTAAAAAAAATTAAATTAAGTCGGTAATATTTGTTAAGTACAAAAGTAATTTACTTTCTTTTCTTTTACTCATCCAGTCATCCTTATTTGGATAAGTAAAATATAAATAAAAAAACATATACCATAAGAAACTCATAAAACACTTTAGACACTCCTTTCTCTATTTTGTCCAAAAAAAAGGGAGGAATGCGGACTTTTTTGAAACAGTTTCCACGTGACTGTTTTACGTCTTTGAGTGCTGCTATTTTGTCTCGTCGAAAATCCGGTTGTTGTGCATAACGAAATTACTTTATTGGTTATTAATATAGAAATGATTTATTTATTTTTTATTATTACTAATAGGGACCACAAATAATTAATTATAACAAGTTAAAGATAAAAATAAATAAAATAGAATAAAAAAAATAAAAATTATAAAAAAAAAAGATTCATTAGCTCGTTGTTTAGTTCGAATTGGTGAAATGACAGGAGAAGTTATTTTTGGTGAAGAAACTATGCGGTTTGGGGATTTGCGTGCTCCCAACTCCTACATTCAGCATCGTAGCTAAGCATACATCAAATTCATCTTATTCCTATGCAATTCCATTGTTAAATACCATAAACAGCAATGAATGCATCCATAGCTTCTGCACTTACTCTTAAAACTGATAACCAAATCCCACAGCCAAATCCAGAAGAACCTTCAAAGCTACAAACTTTCTTAGTTTACACTTACGAATCGCAAAATCCAGGTGCCAGAAATCATCAAAACAACTGCTTCTGCAACTCTCAAATTTCAAAGTATGCAAGTTGAAGAATGCTCTGTATGGCTTAAAGTAATTTCCACGTGCTTGGTTTGGGAGATTTTCCAAGATTATGGTATTATTGGGATACAAGTAGAGTTTAGGAGATCACACACTCTTCTTTAAACACTCCTAAGGATGTAAGATCACTATTCTCCTAGTTCATGTTGATGATATTATTGTCATAGGGGATGATATAGTTGAGAAACATGTTCTGCAAGAAAATTTAATTGGTGAATTTGAAGTCAAAGATCTTGGAGACTGAGATATTTCCTTGCATTTAAGATAGCTCATTCATGAGAAGGTATCTTTATCTGTCAGAGAAAATATATCCTTGACCTTGTTACAGAAGCGGGTAAGTTTGGGTGCAACCCTTCTAATACCCCAATTGAGAAAAATCACAAACTAGGGATTGAAGAGGAGAGTCCTCTAATTGACAAAGAACAATACCAACAACTAGTGGAAAGATTGATATATCTTGCTCATACTAGACCTAACCTAGCTTATGTAGTTAGCATCGTCAATCAGTTCATGCACAACCTAAGGGAGAAACATATGCACGCAATAGACAGAATTCTCCAGTACCTTAAGGCCACTCTAGGCAAAGGACTACTATTCTGGAGAGGGGGAAATCTTCCATTAGAAGTATATACTTATGCTGATTATGCTGGGTCCATAATAAACCAATGCTCAACCTCGAGCTATTGTATGTTTTTATGTGGGATCTTGATAACATGGAGAAGTAAAAAGCAAAATGTGGTTGCAAGATCTAGTGTTGAGGCAGAATTTCGAGCCATGGCCTAAGGCATTTGTGAATTATTATGGCTAAAGTTTATTCTAGATGATCTTTAAGTAAGATGTGAAGGACCTATGAAGCTATTCCGTGATAATAAATTAGCCATCTGTATTTCTCACAATCCCGTTCAACATGACAAACCAAGCATATTAAGGTTGATCGTCACTTCATCAAAAGAAAAACTAGAGAGTAGACTAATTACTACACCTTGTATTCTCTCTGGTCGTCAACTAGCTGATATCTTGACTAAGGGACTCCCACAGATAGATTTTAAGAACTTACTAGCAAGCTGGAAATATAAATATATATTCCTCAGTTTGAGGGAGAATGTTGTATATATAGAAGATATTTTTTATTATTTATTTCTTTTATAAGCTAGATTATGTTTCCTTTTTTCTTAGGATTTGGGTTTATTCTTTTAGGCACATTAGTTTCTCTATAAATATTGTAACCTTTTGCACCTATGTTTTTATGAAAGCAATAATATTTTACTAGTTTTTCTCCTTTTAAGTGATTATTGTCATATTGATGTTCTGAATTTCATATTTTACTAGCTATACAAGTTTCTTTGTAATCTCTCGGCAAAAAAATTAAAATATTGTATTTAAATAAAATAATTACGCATTTAATGTTGTTTCGTAAAAAATTACACATCTACTGCACAATGTGACGTCAGTTTTGGGCGTCACATGTGACGCCCCATTGAGGCGTCTTATCCATGGGAGAGACGCCCCAATGGGGCGTCACATGTGACGCCCAAAACTAGCGTCACATGTGTGCTCTATATATTTCCTCACCCCCTCCATTCAATTCACACCTCTTCTCTCACTCTTCATATCTCTCTTCTCCACCAACATTCCTTTATCTTTAATTTAGTATTTGAATTTTAGTTGTAATTCTATTTAAAAATGAGTTCAAATCCTGATTCTGTTCGTGTTGTGTTATATTTCAATGGTAGGAAGGTAGAAGGTCGACGAGGTGTCATATTCGAAGGTGAAAAAAGGGTGACACGTATCCAACGCAACACAACCATTGGCGAATTGCATCAGAGAATTCGGCAGAAGTTAAGTCTTCAAGACAACCAATGTATCACTGAGATCACGACAAGGGTGTGGCAAGGTGATAAATACATTAGTTTGAAAGTGCTTGACGATGAAGACTTGGAGATGACAATGGAAGAATTTTGCAACCAGTCAAGGACAGATTTTCTAGAGTTGTATGTCGACATCGTTGCAACGGAGAATGCTCCCATACCGGTGAGGTCAGTTTATTTAAATTCTCCCCGTCTTCCAGCTTCTCCTGCCGCTCATGCGTCTCCAGTTGGTATCTTTTCTGAGGGAGATGAAAATAATCCGACTTGGGAAATGCACGACGATGATGACGATGAAAATATGGCAATGGAAGAACATCTTCTGGCGGAGGATGCTAGTGCTTCAGAAGGAGATGAATCTCGTGAGATGGGTGCGTCTGAAATTCCAATATTCCATCAACCAGTCGTCGCGCAAATGCCGCAGTTGAATGACGTTGCGTCTGCTCCGTTTGGTATTCCACAAGAAGGTAATTGTTCCCATTTGTATATTGCGTGAATAAATAACTGATTTAATGTTGCCTGAATTAGTAGTAAGTTCGTATTAAAAAATTATAACCCGCAATTGCAGGTGACACAGATGTTATTCCTTTTTGGGAAGGAATTCCGCATTATTCTTACATTGATTGGAGTTATCAGAGCGAACAAGAATCATGTACTGATGGTTCGGTGTCTGGATCGGCTTCAATACAAGGTCCGTGGCAACTGGGTGACATGTTATTTGTCAATCAAGAATTTGCGACAAAAAAAGATGTCCAAATGGCACTTAAGCACAACCTTATTAGGGAGCATCAAGAAGCCATTGTAATTGAGAGCACGCCTGCAAAGTTGTCTATGAAATGTTGTGCGTACGATCAAGGTTGTCCGTGGCGCGTAAGGGCGATCAAACTGGTGTTTCGTGAAAATTGGAAAATAACGAGATGGGGTGGAAAACACGAATGTGTGAATGAGCACATTTCCCAGGGTCATAGACAGCTTGATGCGGACGTTATTGCAGATCTCGTGATAGGTACCTTTTTGTATTTTTAATGTGTGATTGACCACAAATGTGTAATTAAATTCGTTCGATGTTATCGAGGAACTGATATCCTCTTCAATGCAGGGATGATAAAGTCTGAACCATCTGTGTCAATCTCTTTGGTGCAAGAAAGGATAACTGCTAAATATGGCTTTCAAGTTTCGTACAGAAAGGCGTGGTATGCGAAGCAGAAAGCGATGGCAATTTTGTACGGTGATTGGGAGGAATCGTATGCTTTTTTACCAAGGTGGTGCGAATACATGCTTCGCTTTTCTCCAGGTTCATTTTATCATATACAAACTAATGATCTTTATGCCGAGCAGAGCTTAGTTTCTGGAAAAAAGGTTTTTCATCGCATTTTTTGGACGTTTAGACAGTGTTGTGAGGCGTTCAAATTTGCCAAACCCGTCATCCAAATTGATGGAACACATTTATATGGAAAGTACAAAGGGAAATTGTTGGTGGCCACAACCCAAGATGGTAATAATGAATGTTTACCGATCGCATTTGCCATCGTAGAAGGCGAAACTTTGGAAGCATGGGATTATTTTCTCGTTAATATTCGTGCTCATGTGACTACGATGTCAAACATATGTTTAATATCCGATCGGCATCGAAGCATAATATCTGCTGTGGAAAATAACCCTACTTGGCAGCCGCCAAATGCGTATCACGTATTCTGTATTCGTCATATTGCAAGCAACTTCAATCAAAAGTTTCGAAATGAAGATTTGAAGCGGATGTTAAAGAATTTAGGTATACTCATTGACTGAATGCTTAATTATTTCTTTCCATTATGACTGTCAATTTATGTTTAATTCGTTTATGTCCAATTTGTGCAGGTTATACTCCAGCAATGGTTGATTTTGAAAGGAATCTTGCGAGTTTCCGTGAAAGTAGTCCTCAAATTGCTGAGTGGATAGATGCGATTCCTAAGGAAAAGTGGTCGCGTGCCTACGATATTGAAGGACGGAGGTACGGTCATATGACAACAAATTTGGCTGAATCTGTCAATAGGGTTTTGAAGGGGGCCAGAAATATGCCTATAACAGCATTGGTTAAGCATACATATAGCAGATTGGTTGCATATTTTGTTGAGAGAGGAACAAATGCTCTTGCACAACTTCAATCAGCTCATCGTCACTCCAAACATGTTGTTGAATTGGTCAAGAAGAACCAGGTAGATGCAACAGGCCACCACGTTCGTGCATACAATGTTGAACATACTGTATTCGAGGTTGACGCAGGTTGGGAACGTTCATATTCTGTCAACCTCCCACAGAGATACTGTCAGTGTGGAAAGTTTAAGGCCTTTAAGTATCCATGTAGTCACGCTGTTGCTGCTGCGTTAAGTGTTAGGCAGAGTGCGTTCACTTACGTTGACGACGTCTTCTTGATAAATAACTTGGTCGAGGCTTATTCTTTTCCGTGGGAGCCAATCGGAAACGAGGAAGCAATACCTGAAATTAGTGGTGCAAAGATTATTCCTGATTGTACTATGTTGCGTGCAAAAGGTCGTCCAAAGTCAACTCGCATCCGCAACGAGATGGATGAAGTTGAGACAAGCCAGAGCCGTATCAGGTGTGGACTTTGCAAGGAACGCGGCCATAATCGTCGGCGATGTCCAAGTCGTGGGAGAAACGAATGATTTGCATATTATGTTCATATTGTTGCTGTTGGTTATGTTATTGCATGAATTGTAATGTCCGTTATGTTGGACTTTTTACTTTCCGTTTATGTATGTTTTTAAGCTTGAATTATTAATTAGCTGATGCTGTTAGTTACCGTAATATAAATCCGCAAAGAACGATAACCAAAACATAGTGAATAGTCCAAATAATATAATAATGTAGCGTCCACAATATAACAACATGCTACACTCATATGACATATACAAAAGAACAAAATAATAACAATATGAAACAGTCCACAACATAATGAATAAACAAAATGTCAATGAAACTAGGACCACGGTGGCCATGGCCTATGTCGTGCATCCCTATCTGGTAGTATACGTCTGTCCCAGACTGGGTCACCCTGATGGTCCTGTGGAGGTGGAGTGTGGAAGTCATCCATCGCCGCACGGATGAAATCATCTGATGGTCCTGCACTGCTGCCCGGCACATCAAAAGGGGTGTGTCCCTGACTGTGAGAATCCGTGGCTAGAGTCTCCCCACTGTCATGGCTCTCTGCAACAAGGCCTACAGAGCGATACAACTCCATCGTGTCCTCTGCAGACCAAAAGGGGTAATCGGCATCAAGTCCCTGTGAATAGGGCTGGAAATCAGGCTGTGAGGATGCCGGATCCGCTCCTGCCATAGCCATCGGACTAGCCTGGAAAACTGGCTCCTGCCCGCTCATGTAAGGGTGCTCAGACGCCGCCTGACTAGGACCTGCCGCATACTGCGATCCGTGATGATAAATCGGCTGTGACCCGTAAGTAGGACCAAATGCTGGAGGTCTAAACCATCCCTGAGTCTCGACCACTGGTCTAGGTGCTATAATCGGGACAGGCTCAGCAGCAACTCTCTCACGTGTACGTCCTAATCCCCGTCCCTCCCGTCTATTACGAGGAACATCCACGATCAACTGAGGATCAGGCTGAGTCTGCACGGGGGGTGCCTCAGGTCCAGGCTCATCAACTCGTGAACTCTCACGAAACATCCCAATAATTCGGCCTATCTCCTCGTGGATATACTGTAGTCCAAATCGAGGAAACTCCTCCGCCGTTGTTGCATGATACAGCATTTCAAGACCGTCAATCTGCATATTACGAAAAAATGTTAGTTGTAATTTGAAACAAATGTAAAATAAGTACAAAACTCACCATGCGCCCTATCTTTGCTGCCCTCCGTGATATGTAGCGCTTTCCCCTCTCTCTGAACCACTCCATGTACTCATGATTAGGTGACATCAAACCATATAATGGAGGTGGCAGTACAATATGCTGAATCCTAGTATTCCATCGATCAATGTGAGCCCTGAGCTTACGTCTCCAGTTCTCTTCAACCTTCCCCCGTAGAGTATGATCATGTATTCCTCTCAATTTTCTAGATTTTTCCGGGATGGGTTGATTAAGACCAAACTGTCGCATGCACCTATCCGGTTGACATGCCTCAACTGTGTGGAAGTAGATAATAGGTGTGGGAGCTAGCCACAGATACTGCTGCTCTGGAGTCACGTCAAGCCACTCATATTCTATATACGGCTGCCACACCACCTACAAACAAAATGTGAAACAATATATAGAGTTACAAAAAAAAATAAACCCATAGACAAATAACAACACCGTAAGTATCTAACACCAAACCTCATCTCTACAGAGTGTGTCCAATGTTGCCCGATAATGGGTGACCTCATGAGGTTTAAACTTTTGTACAGCATTAAACCTGTCAATCAAAAACATTATCAACCATACATAATCGTCCAAAGTCAAGAAGTATACAGTTAGTACATACAGTATTAACCATACATTATCGAAATCAAATGAAGTAAATAAATCATACCGGCATCCATAATGTGTGCCCGGCTGTGGATGAGGAGGAAGGGGTGGAGCAATGGGTGGGAATCGTATCCATGCCCAAATTTGAAGGAGAATATGGCAACCACCCATGTCGCTTCGACGGGCATCTGTCACTTCACACAAATTCCTGAACAAGTGTGTCAAAACTGCAGATCCCCAGCTGAATCGGCCAATGTCCTCAAATCCTCCACCTAGCAACGGGACAAGCCGACAACCAAAATTGCTACCTCCAGACTTGTCCGCCAGCAACCAAGTCCCCAACATCCGCGCAATGTGAGCTTTTGTGAAGTAGATCTCGGCAGCATGATTCCCTTCATGATCAGTCCACCGGGTATAATGTCGATCCAAGAATGAGATGCGGAGGTCGCCAGAATGATGGAACTCACCGGCCTCTGGAACATGTCCAAAAACACCAGCACAAGCAGCGTGCCAATCCTCAGAGGTCGATCCGATGACGACAGTACCGTCGGTCGGCAAGCCCAAGATGCCTGCCACATCTTGTAAGGTGATCGTCATCTCACCTTGGGTCATGTGAAAGGTATGTGTCTCTGGTCTCCACCTCTCGACCAGAGCACTAATTAAAAATGTATCTATCTGTGATAAATTACGCAGTTATCACGTGTTAACGAATTACATTATTTAATTACATAAATACAAAACGACATAAATAACATACCTGGATATGTTGCATCCTGGCAACATGTATGAAACCCGCCTGTCTGAGGTACTCTTCCACAACCTGTGGAATAGCACCGGTAGGTGGGCCCCCTTGTGGCTTCCCACGCCTCGTCTTAATCTTTCTTACATGCTCAGTATTCCACACACGCTGTGAAATATGACCTTTCTGCGTCCTCTGACGAAGGACCTCCCACCTGTAGGGTCCAGGTATGATCCACATGCTGGGATCGGTGGGCTCTACATCCGAATCAGATCCCGAAGAAGATGATGACTCAGCCATTATCCTTAACTAACTACAAAGTTATGCACTCCCGCATTAATAACATCATACATACGAAATTTACAAAGTCTCTAACACTATTTATAAATCACTAATTAATATGCTAAACCCTAATACATAATTAAAAATCAGTAATAATAATAACTACGTAATAATAATATTACTATATCATTACAACATTCATAGCATGACACAAAATTTCTAAGTGACTATCCTAATGTTCCAAGTCTCTAATATACAATCAATCCTAACATGTATTACTAACTAGCACTGTAATTTAAATGTATACATATGAGGTATTATGACCTTACTTACGTTGGCAGAGCTTCACTACGAACCGCGGTTAGAGAGAGGTTGGAGAGGTAAATGAGTAAGGAGTGAAAAAAGGAAAGTGAGGTATATATAGGTTGCACATGAGACATGTGACGCCCTACTTCTTCTCTAGGATATTGTTTAGATAAATTATTCCTTGGAATATGCGGTATGATTTGGCGCGTCAAACAATGACAGATGAATCATAAATTTGTGTGTTTATATAATCAATTTTTGAATAAAATAAGCATGTTAATATTATCAAGAGAACTCTTATCAAGTTTCTTTTTGATAAAACGATAGAAATAGTACGAGTAGGTAAAATGTGAGTGATGCTCCTTTGTCGTTTATACTGTAATGATGATCCACGATAAATTTTATAACGTTATGTGTACGATAATATAAATATGCACATGGTAATTCCTTTTAATTGGTGACAAATTGCTCCAATTATGTGTCTTTGTTAGAATGTATTATAAAAAAAGTAAAAGGATTTTATAAAATGAGTGTCTTTAAATTACAAATTCATTTCAATACTTTTTAAAAATGAAAAACACAGAACTTTGGCAAATTTTTTTTGTATTTTATGAATTATATAATCTTTTCATGCGATCTTTTCATATAGGTTTATATAAATTTCTTCTTGTACCTTTATATCTTCATCCTTTATTATACGTTAGCATATACCGATGCCATATATATATAAGCAGAAATAATAATAAACAAGTATTATCTTCTTGAGACTGTATACTATATAAAATTGATTTATGTGTAGTGAAAGTGCGTGCTTCAATCTCTACCATGTATTCTTTCTTCTACACCATTTCCTTGTAAAATCCGTTACATCAATATCATCTTCAACTCAATTTAGTTGGGCTTGGGATCAATGAACCTAAATAAAAATAAATTGAGGAAAGAGAAATAAATAAATAAAGTAAAAAAAAGCCCAGTGGAATATAAAAAATAACGTGTATGGCTCTACAATGTTATTATATTAAGGGGATGTATTGGATTGAAATTTCAAAGGATTTTAATGGATTATTTTTGGACAAAAAAATCCGTTGGTACTCAATTAGGATCTTAATAGATTGAAAAAAATCACATGGTACTCGATTAGGATTTTAAAAGATTATTTTAGAATCCGTCCAAATCCGTTGGTATTCAATCAAGATTTTAAACAATGGAAAATAATCTTGTGGTATTCAAAAATCTAACGATTTTAATGAATTTTCTATTGGTGTGGATTTCATGAGACTTTTTAGTAAGAAATATAAATAGGATGTCTCTCTCACAATCTCATCCTAATCCCTAGGATTTCTTGAGATTTCTCTAATACAGTGTTTTTTTTCTTCCTTTGACAGATTGACCTGCTCGAAATCAGGTTCCGCTATGAGAGTTTCGTCAAAACTCAAAAATAGCATATTTTTGAGTGATTTCCATCATAAAATAACCTAGAAACAACAAACCAACGAGATTTTAATATAATCTATCTCAAAAACAACATATTTTTGAGCCATTTTTGAGAAATTTTGAAAGTTTAAAAAGTGAATTTTCAAGCTATGGGTCGCGGTTTTTCTTGGTACAAAAGTGTGTGATTTTTGTATTAAAAACAACATAAAATAATAGGAAAATAAAATTTTCGTTTTAAATCAATGAAACAATATCAATTTAAAGAAAGATTGAAACTTTCATAATATGAATCCTATATTTTGTAATAATACATGAGGAGGATATTGTAACAACAAAGTTGTGTTACTACCATGTTACTACCAATCTATCTCACCATTAGATCGATTATGTTGATCCAACGGTTATATTTATTTCCACCTTTGTATGGTTATGATTTCCCATATTTAAAGTGAAAGCATTAAATATGGGAAATCATAACCATATAAAGGTGAAAATAAATATAAAATATTAAATTTGGAAAATCATGACCATACAAAGATGTAAATAAATATAACCGTTGGATCAACATAATCGATCTAACGGTGAGATTGATTGGTAGTAACATTGTAGTAACACAACTTGGTTGTTACAATATCCTTCCTCAAAATACATTCATGAATGAAATTTTTTCACTATATGAAACGATTTCAAATATTTTTTGTGTCAATAGATAACTAAAAACTTGTTTTTCAAAAGTCCTAAAGCAATTTAAGGTTTCAATGTATCGATTGAAAAAAATTTGAGAAATTTTCTAAAAATAAAATCCAAAAATTTAGATTCGAAATTTTCTTAGAATTTTAATGAAAATATGCATATGATATGTGGTTAGAAAACTCTTATCACGTAGAATAAAAACCCCAAAATTTTCAAAATCAATTGCAAAAAATTTCAAACGAAATTTTGTCATGAACTTTAGGTTTTATATACAAATTTAGAATTATTTTAATAATTAAAAAAAAATTGGTCTTGTAATCATATATACATATCTTTGATACCCAATGAAGAAGATAATTTTTAACCCATTGGTCAAACCCAAGAGCAAGAATAACAAAATACTAATGCATGGAGGACTAGTATAAGTTTAGATATGTGAAAAGCTATTGCTTAGTAATTTGAATGTTTGTTAAAAATTATATTATGTTTTACTGATTGAGAAAATTATATTATATTATATTTTTTTATTAATTTCATTGCATTTCTTTGTTATTTTTTTATCGGAAAAGTTATACTTACAACCTATTTTTGTTTATAATTTTTTATAACCATATTTTAACCATTGATTTTCGTCAATCAACGGTTATTACTTTCGCAAATCAAACTCATTAATTAATATTTAATTTACAATGAATGATAATTGTTTATTGACAGAAATCAATGGTTAAGATATGGTTGGAAAAAGTTGTAAAGAAAAGTAGGTTGTAAGTATAACCTTCCTTTTTTTTTCTTTAACTTGTAATTTTGAATATTTGTTAAAAATTCATATGATTTTTTAAAATTTTATAAATCCATATTGTCCTTTCAAATCTTATAAATTCTATTAAAATCCTTTAAAATCCAATCTTATGAAATCTTGATTGTAAGAAAGTCTTTTAAAAAAGTCTTTAAAGTCCCTCAAATTCTAAATAATCTTTTAAAATCTATAAGATGTTTTATCTCAAAAAAGTTTTTTAAAATTCTAATCCATTACACCTCCCTAAAAATCAAATAATAAATGGATTAAAAAATGGGTTAACTTTTTCTGCAGTTATTGCAGATAAGTTATATGCAGTAAGCCTCTTATTTGAATGAGTAAAATATAAATAAAAAAACATATACCGTAATAAACTCATAAAACACTTTAGACACTCCAACTCCTACATTCAGCATCGTAGCTAAGCATACATCAAATTCATCTTATTCCCTTGCAATTCCATTGCTAAATACCATAAAGAGCAATGAATGCATCCATAGCTTCTGCACTTACTCTTAAAACTGATAACCAAATCCCACAGCCAAACCCAGAAGAACCTTCAAAGCTACAAACTTTCTTAGTTTACACTTACGAATAGCAAAACCCCAGGTGCCAGAAATCATCAAAACAACTGCTTCTGCAACTCTCGAATTTCAGGCCTCCTTCTTATCCTGTTCATGTTGTGTCGTCCTTCTGATTTTCCCAAGTCTTTGTTCCAATAATTTTCTTTTTCTGTTTTTAACTTTTTTTGCAATTTGGTTCTTCTGGTTATGGGTAGTGTTCTCTTTGGTTGAAATTTAAGGCTTCTGTTTTGATGATCAAAATTGAAGCAATGAAGTACGTGCGAAGAATCGTGTTGCAATAATTAATATTATTTGTATCTAATACTCAACGATCAGAGTGGCGCAGCGGAAGCGTGGTGGGCCCATAACCCACAGGTCCCTGGATCGAAACCAGGCTCTGATAAAAAGAGTGGCTTCCGAGATATTTTTTAAAACATTTTTGTGATTTTGTCTGTCGAGTGCCACTACTATTTAATATTTTAAAATAATATAAATAATATTTTTATGCTAGACAATACATAATTCACTACGATGAATTGAGATACTGAAACATATATTTGAAATAATATATATATATATATATATATATATATATATATATATATATATATATATATATATGAGGTAAGATATTCTTAACATCAATTTTTTTTAGTATTGCTTTAATGACTATTTCATTCAAAAGTTATTTTTTTTTTCTTTCTTCATTTAACTTTTCTTCTAATCCAACGGTGATTAGAGTTATAGTGAAGTGGTAGTAGAAAAAATTGATAGTCTTTATATATAAATAAGGAGAAATTTTTCCCTCTTGCAAAAACAAATTGATAGGTCCCTTCAGCTTTTTTTAATAAGTGCTAGTATAACAACCCTAATATTTTAAATATAGAAAATTATTATTTAATTATAATATTAATTAAGAATATTTTGACTTTTTTTTTATATTAACAACCCTCATTTTTCAAATTTGGATAACAAGTTATTTTTATTTTATATTTTGACTTTTAACTTTTTAAAACAAAAAAATTATGAAAAATCATATATTTCATTATCTATCTTACAAAATAATTTTAAGAAAAAAAAAACAAAATACAATCAAACAAACTCAAGCCTTTGTTGCCAACAAATATTCATTTGACAGATTTTATTTATTTATTTATTTTTTTAGTTTTTTTTCTTCCTAAAAGGAAATGTTTGGTCAACTATATTATTATAAAAAATTATCATAAATTTTTTTTGTTATAATGATTAAAAAAAAGTCAAAAACTCCCAAAAGATTTTTTTTTAAAATGTACACCAATTTTTTTAGAAAAAAACTAAAAATTACTTTACCAAATAATTTATATTTAACGTAACCTTTAAAATAATTTTTAAGCTAAAAAATTTATATAACCACCAAATAATTTTTAACTTTGTATTTTGAGCTCTTATTTTTAACTTTAATTTAAAAAAGTAATTTTTAACTTATAAAAAAAATAAAACAGGCGAAACAGGCTGCTCCGAATTAACCTTGTTCCCTTATGTCATTTAACATCTCACTCATTAAGAAAATGGTTTTATAAAAGTTATGTTGTAGGAAAAGTGATTGTGTTATGTTATAGAAATTCGTTTTGCGTGCCGAAGTTTTTTTTTTTTTTTTTTGCTGCGGGCCCCACAAAATGTTGTGTGTGTAGGAAACTTTTTGTGGTCATGTTAAATGATAGATGATAAACCCTTAAGAAAAAATTAAAAAGGAAAAAGCCATTTCACAAAGCGTGTTCACTTTTTTTTTTTTTTTTTTTTTTTTAAATTACTACTAAGGGAGGTATATTGGATTGAGATTTCAAAGGATTTTAATGGATTATTTTTGGACAAAAAAATCCATTGGTATTCAATTAGAATTTTAAAGGATTGAAAGAATGTCACGTGGTATTCGATTAGGATTTTAAAAGATTATTTTAAAGTCCGTCCAAATCCGTTGGTATTCTATCAGAATTTTACAAAGGAAAAATAATCTTGTGGTATTAAAAAATCTTACGATTTTAATGGATTTTCTATTGGTGTAAATTTCGTGAGACTCGTTAGTGAGAAATATAAATATGATGTCTCTCTCACAATCTTACCCTAACCCATAGAATTTCTTGATATTTCTCTATTGTAGTGTCTTCTTCTACCTTTGGTGGGTCGACCCGCTCGAAATCGAGTTCCGCCATGGGAGCTTCGCCAAAGCTAAAAAATAACAGATTTTTGAACGATTTTAATCTAAAAAATTGCAGATTTTGAAGCTATTTTTGAGAATTTTTGAATGTTTAAAAATAAATTTTCAAGCTATTGATCATGATTTTTCTTGGTATGAAAATGTGTTATTTTTGTATTAAAAACAACATAAATTAGTGAGAAAACAAGAGGGGAGCAAAAATCCTCAAACCAATTTTCATTTTACATCAACGAAATAAGATCGATTTAAAGAAAGATTTGAACTTTTATAATATGAACCTATGTTTCATAATAATACATTTATGAACGAAATTCCTTCACTATAGGAAACGATTTCAAACAATTTTTTGTGTCAATAGATCACTAAAAACTTATTTTTTAAAAACCCAAAGCAATTTAATATTTCAAAGTATTGATTGAAAATAATTTGAGAAATTTTCTAAACTTTTTTGTAATAAAGCCCAGAAAATTCAAATTCAAAATTTTCTTGGAATACTCAATAAAAACATGCATATGTTATATAGTAGAAAACTCTCATCACGTAGAACAAAAACACCAAGATTTACAAGATCAATTGCAAAAAATTACAAACGAAAATTTATCATGAATTTTACTAATTGAGAAAATTATATTGCATTTTACTTTTTTTTATTAATATCATTGCATTTCTTTGTTAACTTTTTGTATTGACTCTTGTAATTTTTGTATTAAAAACAACATAAATTAGTGAGAAAACAACAGGGGAGCAAAAATCCTCAAACCAATTTTCATTTTACATCAATGAAATAAGATCGATTTAAAGAAAGATTGCAACTTTTATAATATGAACCTATGTTTCATAATAATACATTCATGAACGAAATTTCTTCAATATAAGAAACGATTTCAAACAATTTTTTGTGTCAATAGATCACTAAAAACTTCTTTTTCAAAACCCCAAAGCAATTTAAGATTTCAAAATATTGATTGAAAATAATTTGAGAAATTTTCTAAACTTTCATGTAATAAAACCAAGAAAATTCAAATTCAAATTCAAAATATTCTTCGAATACTCAATAAAAACATGCATATGATATATAGTTAAAAAACTCTCATCACGTAGAACAAAAACTCCAAGATTTACAAGATCAATTGCAAAAAATTACAAACGAAAATTTATCATGAATTTTACTAATTGAGAAAATTATATTACATTTTACTCTTTTTTTTTAATATCATTGCATTTCTTTGTTAACTTTTTGTATTGACTCGTGTAATTTTGAATGTTTGTTAAAAATTCAAATGATTTTTTAAAATTTTATAAATTCATATTATCCTTTCAAATCTTATAAATTCTATTAAAATCCAATCTTATGAAATCTTAATTATAAAAAAAGTCTTTTAAAAAAATCTTTAAAGTCTTTCAAATTCTGAATAGTCTTTTAAAATTTATAAAATTTTTATCTCAAAAAAGTCTTTTAAAATCCTAATCCAATACAATTAAGGAACAAGACGAAATTTTTTATTCTTTGGACTATAAGGTTGCCGTCAATAATGAAAAACAAAATCATCAACAAAAAATAAAAAATAAAAAATAAAAGAATTGTAAGTTTCATTATTATCGGCAGAACAAGGGGCACATGTACTACTTGCAAAGTTGAAGGCTGGAAGCATGGAACATCAAATTCCACTGACAACATTCTGTTGGCAGGTGACGACATCAGCATCCATTATTTATGCAGTGACATGCTCCTGAAGGAAACCCCTTGTCTGACCTGATTAATACCAAAGTAAATTTTAGGTAATCAAAAACCATGAACAAATATAGTATTATATTATGTACCAAAAACAAGAAAGATAGAATTTCAATTTATTGATAAAACTATGGGTTTTATAAGAGTTATGTTGTAAGAAAAGTGATTCTGTAATGTTATAGAGATTCGTTTTGCGTGTCTTAACTTTTTAATTTTTTTTTGTTTTAAAAAGTGTGGGTCCCACAAAATATTGTGTGTGTAAGAAATTTGATGGTGTCATGTTAAAGGACAAACTACAATCCCTAAAACTATACAATTATGTACCTCTTGGCAATTTCCTAAATCTATACCGCAGATCCAGCAAGGCGCCTCTTTGAGGCATTTGATACAGCCAACTGACCAAGCTTGTCAATGTTATTTGATACAGTCCTTTCTTTGATTGGTGTATAATGCCTCAACCATTCTCCAACATAAACCTGAAACATCAAATATATTGGTGACATAAAGAAACAGAAATACAAAAACTGCCTGGACCAACCTGAGTAGGGTACAATCTAAAACCACCCATAACAAAGTAGCTCATTCATTAACCCAAAACTTGTAAACTGGTAACCTTTGCCCTAGGCCTGTTTGCAGTCAAAAAATCTCATTTGAGCCAAAAAAAGAAAAGAAAAAAAGATAGGAAAGTCAAGTTACAGGAAAATTGGGATCAATGGACCAATTCTCTGTGGTTCTAATAAGCTGGTATAACTTCATCCTTTATTTATCTGTTTAATGGAAGATAAAAAAAAGGCTGGGATAAAAAAGTCAACTCTGCCATTTAATCCAAAACTAAGTCCACTTGAGTCATTTCCACCACTACAACATATATCCACTACTGGTTTACTATATCAATCTGATGTACTTACAGATATTTCCCATTACTAATGCTAAGAAAGATATAATTCAGCCTCAAAATGATACATGTAGCCAACCATTTTCCAGGATACCAAATGGTACACAGCACATACAGACATATCATCACAAATCAGCCAACAATGATCATGCTACTATTTTTAACATGCAAGGAGATCATAACCATATAAATAATTTTAAAAAAGGAAATAACCTGTTGAGGTCTCATGATCTTTGTATCAGGATCATCCAAGGACTCTCGCCAATGTGCCAAGTACCCAGCCATTCGAGGGATAGCAAATAAAATAGTGAAATATTCTGGCGGAAAACCCATTGCCCTGATTTCATAAAAAGATTAGCTCAATCCTACTCATATATTCCAGGAGGAGTAACACATCTTTTGTTCCCTAGTTACAAAAACTAGAAGTGATAATATATTACCTATAAATTAAACCAGAGTAGAAGTCAACATTTGGATATAGCTTTCTCTTGATGAAAAACTCATCAGACAGTGCAACCTTCTCCAAGGCAACTGCAACCTGCATCATCAAATAATTGCATATAAAACTTTCAAGTTCAACTAATTATATTGAACCGAGTTGACATTAAATTAAGCAGAAGAATTTTTTCCTGTCAGAAAATAAGTATAGATTGAAACCTAAAGAAATGCATTAAATTTGAAAATAAAAACAAGTTACAGATATTTTGACTGACTTATCATCCGACTTGAATTGCAATTATATTTTCAAGCCAAGCAGACTTTTAATGAATATAAATGCAGACATACCAGATGCTAATTATATTTACAAGATTTTAAGTAAATGCCTCATTTCTTCAAAAAAAAAAAAGTTTCCTCAACATTTGAAGGTTTCAAATATGTGTGGGCCTGTTTAGGTAATAATTATATTCACATACAGACACATAAATACATTACATGTAAAACTTAACAAAATAGTCTGTAAGAAAAATTAAAAAATAAGTACGTTTCAAGAAAAATATATGTAGCAAAATTCCCAAATTGTAGCATTTTGATATTGTGTTCATATTCCTCATCATAGGCCTCATGAATAGCATATCCAGCTTAAGGAATATACAACAGACATAAAGAAGCACAGTCAGGGAAAAAATAAATGGATGAACACCTCTATAAGAGGATCACGGCCAACAATGGTAAACACTTCCTCCGTCAGTCTTTTTAAGACCTTTGCTCTGGGATCATAGTTTTTGTACACACGATGTCCAAAACCACTGAGCTTTCGTTTCCTGGAGAAAAAGCACGAGACAATAATATCAAACAAAACTATCATTTTCCCTACTTGCTGTGAAGAGACCCAAGGAGGCACAAATAGATAGGGAAAACACAAGATCCAGAGAAAAAAAAGTTATAGCTACCTGGATTTAACACCCTCAATGAATTCTGGAACGTTCTCAACAGTTCCTATTTCACTCAGCATTTTGAGGACAGCCTGCATAATTAAAGGTCGCATTAGCATTGTCACACGAGCATATGGCAAAAGTATTCAGCTTTTCTTTACATTCCACATCAAAATAAGCAATACAAAAATGATACTGAGAGCATCCTAAGGCATTTATATTACCTCATTAGCTCCTCCATGAAGAGGTCCATATAGAGCTCCAACACCCCCAGCAATGGCAGTGTATACATCAACACCACTGCAAATAAGATGGCAATATATGACAGACTGCATTATTTTTCTTTGAAAATCGCTATTTAGACCAAACTGTGTCTGCTCGAAAGCACTCTTTTGCTAAAATAGTAAGATGTTTACCTTGATGCAAGGTGACGTACAGCGGATGTAGAGCAATTCATTTCATGTTCTGCATGCAGGATGAAGATAATGTCCAGTGCACGAGTTAGCCGGGGATTAGGTTTATATGACCGATTGCCACTGAAAACATGCATAGTGGAGATTACTCTATGCTGATATAATCTCTCAATAACAAAAATCAGCTAGTTTGTTGGTACCATTTCATCAACCAAGATTAAATCATATATTACTTTTATTTTTGGCGAGCAAATCATATTACTTTTGAAAATATTTAGATTTGTTATAAGGGGCGAACCGGAGCAGTGGTAAAGCTGTTCTTTCATGACTGAAAGATCATGGGTTTGAATACAAGAAACAGTCTCTTTGTAATTATGCAAGAGTAAGGCTGTGTACAAGGATTACTTCCACCCCACACTCGCTAGTCGGATTTAATGGGGAGTGATTTTTATTTTATTTTTTTATATCTAGGGAAAAAAGAAAACAAACATGAAGCTCTGAAGGAAAAAATAAATATAAAAAGAAGAAGAAGCAAGTTTAGATCATTCCAAATTATCAATCAGACTTCAAAATACAGTAAGACATACAAAGAATCAAGCATGTATAGGAAGTTCTCCGTGTAAGAAAGTTTGTTGGACGGAAGCATGGGTGGCCTTCCTGCCATTCTGAGATTAATTGCAGCAGCAATTGTTGTTATCTGCAGTCAAAACAGAAAATGACGTTGCAACAGAGCAGTAGGACAGATTGCAAATAAGCATAGAATTGCATTAATAATACTGCACAAAAATTCAGAAGATAAAAGCTTAACCAGTGCACGACGCATTCCGAATAATTGAACTACTTATTACATAGACCATAGATAGAAGATTATGAGGAATAAAGAGAACTGAATAAGGAAACCTTTCCAATAATCCGTGCAATTTGTTTGTCTCTCACTTCCTTTGAGTTGTAGATATCAAGACCCTGCATTAAAATATTAGAAAAAGTTTTAAAAGAAAAAGTCAAAGATGAATCAAATAATATAACACGGCAATAACATGTTATATTATTGGACCAAGGCATAGGAAAAAGTAATATCCCACATGAATCGCTTATCAAAATAATGAAAAGCACCAAATCTGAGGCAGGCGGGTAGAATCAACAAATATAAGCCTGGGTCTACCAATTTAGAAAAATATCACTATTTTTTCAATGCAACAAGTTAGCATTATCCAATGATAACCGGCAAGCACTGTAGTAATTGACTGGAAAAAAAATCACTATTTTCCTCCTCTTCTTAATAATCATCTCAGTAAACCATGCTTTAAACTTAGAAAATGATAACATTCAGTTCCTTTGATTACTTGTCTCATAATACACTTAAAATAGTGCAATCACCTCAGGCAATTGCAACCAACTCAGCACCTCCAAGTAATTTAACATTAATATCTAAATTGTTATGAGAGTTCTAATTTTAAATTAAAAAATCCACTTTCATTTTTTTATAAATAAAAAATATTCAGGAACTCACATATTGCTTAGAACCAAAGCTCATTGCTGTAAATAATCCTAAAAGTGAAACAAATGCTAAAAAATTTGCAAAATATAGAAATTTGAAAACTACGAGGAAGAAGTTCTACAAAATAAAGTTAAAAATATATTTCTATTGTAAAAGTAAGGTATACAAAGTTCCATGTTATGTTATCATCATACATATGCATCAATGCTGAGTAGCTAAAGAGTTGAGTAACTTGAACTTGACAGCAGTTTGTGTTACTTACTCTGAGAGCAGGATTTGCATCAGGGTGAAAAACAGATAAAGCACTTAAGGCATTAACAAGCACGCCCATAGGATGTGCATCATGAGGCATTGATTGTATGATATCCTACAAAACAAATGTATACCACTACTAAGTTAGATTAATACACTCGCATACTCAGATTGACAGCTTTAGCTTTCAATCATTAATCCTTTCTGACAAAAAAAAGAGGAGCTACCAGATTTGTGACAATATAAAAATACAACTGGCATATTGAATTTTAAGCAAAAACACAATTGATGTAAAATGTATACAAATCTAAAAGCTGTCACTGACTGAAACCAGAAAGTTACCACAGGATTTTCGGATCATAAACCCACAGTAAGTTATTTGATAACAGAAAGCTTACCAAAACACCTTGTGGTACAGCTGAATGCTGAGATATGGCGAACTCCCAATCTGCTAACTGACTTTGAGAAGGCAAATTTCCATACACTAAAAAAGAAAGAGTTGTACCAAAAAAGAAAAAAAAAAGAGTTAATAAACTTCAAAGACATGCATGCTATGTATAAATCGAAGCATGTAATTAACAGGACTCATAAAGAAGGACCCTACACCTGCCTAAAGTGTAAGAATCTAATCTGTATCTAAGCTAATCATAAGTCAAAATAATGTATCTACAAAGGCTACAAAAGTCCCATGCATATGCAATAAAAATTCTGAAAAATACTCACTTATGAGATACGACACTTCCATAAAGTTGCTTTTCTCAGCCAACTCCTCAATCGGGTATCCTCTATATCTAAGGATTCCCTCATCACCATCAATATACGAAATTGTTGATCGGACAGGAGCAGTGTTTAAATAGCCAGGGTCATAAAATTTGAGTCCCTTGTCATTCTTCCCAGTTGATATCTGCATGTGAAAAATTAGAGAACCACGTAATTTAATACGAAAAAGAGTATTAATATATACAATCATCATTTTATAAGTACAAAACCACCCCACCTATGATTTCAGCATGTAACTATGAATAAAATACATAATTAAAAAAAAAAAAATACCTTAACTTTCTTACATGTAAGCTAAGAAGCATACCAAAATAAACAATAAACACTCAATAACAAAATAAAAACACCAATTCCAAACAATTTAGTGAAGCAGAAAGGGGCAAGACCCAGATCACCATATTCGAAATACTTTCGAGTGCCAAGTTTACTATTAAAAGATGGGTTTTGTATTTATCATTCAACATGAGAATTCAATTCTCATGTAGAGACAAAAAACATGTGGGACCCGTATGTAAGAAAAAATTATATGTAGGACCCACATTAGCACAAAAATCGAAGGGTGTGTAGGAAAATTCAAATTCTTGTGTTAAAACGAGAATTATAAAACCCTTAAAAGATATATAAACCGTTACTAACTTAAGTTTTTGGATTAAATTGATTCTTTACATGATAGCAGAGCTTCCATTAGGCTCCATGACCAAGTGTTCATAAGTTCGATTTCTATCCCTCCATTTTCTTTGTGAAATTTTATAATATAGGTAAATTAGACCTAATGCATCATCCAACTTTCAAGTTTAACCGGCTTTCTTGCGAGTAAATATTAAAAATATATAAAATCATTAATATAATCTTACCTCCATCAACTTAAACTTACTTACAATTGAAAATTTATTGACATAACACAACTTCCACGTTAGGAAGCAATGTCGTGATAAACCAATTCAAAAAGAGAAACTAAAACTCCAAAAAAAAAATTCAACGAAGGAGAAAAGGATCGAAATTGATCAAAACCCAGTTCGCAAAACTAGAAATGCTTTCGAGTCCCAATTTCAAAAACTAGAATTTCCACCTTCTTGAAGTCATTGGCTTTGACCGTGCCTTCAGGAGAGACTTCAACCTGGTACTTCTTCCCGGTCCTCTCGTCGACGACGGTGAGGGTGCCCTTGAGGTTCGGCGGAAGCGAGATCCCGGAGGAAGCAGAGAGGCAGAGAGGGTGGAGGAGTGCGGTGGCGGTGGAGGCGGAGGCGGAGGTGGAGGGAAGTAAGTGAGCAGTGAGGGTGGCCAAACGGTTGCGTGCAGCGTCCATCGGGGATTCAGAAGCTGTTGTTGTTTTTGTTGTTGACATTATGTGATGTGTGGTTTTCTTCAACAATTTGATTAATTCAAGAAAAGGGATCGAATAGAATGTGAAAAACGAGTTGCAAATCAGAATTGAAAAATGGAGTGGCGAGAGACCCAAAGATCGTTAAAACATTTGCAAGAATGTGTCGTACGTGATTTTGTTATTGGGTCCGTTTTTTCTGGAGCTGCAGATCGTCTTTTTTTTCGGCAGACATAAAAGAAAAAGGGACCCACTCGTTTTATTTAATAAAAAAACGAAGAAGCGGGATCTTGACTTTTTTATATGTTTCCGTAAAAGTTATTTTTTCAGCAACAATACAGCTATGTTATCAGAGAAAGATATTTACAAAATTAATGCAAAATAAGTTATTTGTATTTATTTTTAAAATAATGTTATTTTGGGATTGAAAGATTAAAAAATTATAATTATGAAGACTATAATAACTCTGAAATAAATTAAAATTATAAAAACACCATGATTTCTGCACAAAACAACGTTGTATTGGGCTTACTGCAGAAAAAACGAACCCTTGTTATTATTGAAAAATGTTGAAAGTTATTTTAGTTAAAATTAATATTTTTATTTAAATTTTAAAAAAAATTACCTGCTTTTTTCTGTAATGATTTTTATTATATATTTTTTTGGAAAATATTAACCTTATGTGATAGGAGATAACAAATTTCTCCTACACACTCAAAAAGGTATGGAGTTCATTTTAATTTTTTTTCTCTTTGTCCTATACAATGAGATCCACATAAGTTTGTGAGTGCGATATGAGATATTTTATCTCCTATTGTATAAGAAAATATAATCTCGTATTTTTTTTTCTTTCACTTAAAAACACACAATTTTATGTCAAATACTAAACCCTATTATTAATTTGGCTGAGAAAAATTTATTGACTGACTCAGTTGATTTTCGCTAATTTGATGGAAAATATCAATTGCAGCAAACTATTTAATTTAACATCAATATGAATTCATCATTCATGCCTCTTATTATCCATTAGTTCCTAAGAATATTATTACAACTAACATCTTATATTATAAATTATATTATAAAGGAATTCCATTATGTGGAGACCTTGCTGACGTGTCGCACTGTGGTTCAATTTCACCATTGTGTTCACACTACAACATTTAAAAAAGTTTTCTTTAATGGTAAATCGGTGAATATAATAAATACAAAAAAGAATTATATTTTCAATTGACATGATTTGTTACTTTAAATCAATGGTCAAGATTGCTTATTCATTGATTTATAACTACTAAATCACTCTTTGTAGTCATCTTTGTTTTTTAAATAATTGATGTTGATCATGTAATCTAATCGTTTTTTTAACCTTTATTCAGTTTAATTCAAATCTTTACGTTTTTTGAAAAACAAAAACAGGATATTCATTGTTATTAAAACAAATGACTGTTTTATTCCATGAAATGACTGTTAAAAAACGGGATATTCATTGATTTATAACTACTTAATCACTCTTTGTCGTTATCTTTGTTTTTTAAATCTTTATTCAGTTTAATTCAAAAACTTCACATTTTTTAAAGAATACAATTCTATTTACTCGAAAAAAAATTAATTAGTAAAAAATATATATATATACATATCCCGACCTTTGTTCCTTATTTTCAGATTTTTAAATTTGAATCTTTTATTAACCTCTTGATTCAGTGGAATCAGGTATGAGTGTTTTGTTATTAGAAAAAACTTCTGTTTTATTCCATGAAAATCTCATTTATAACTACTAAATCACTCTTTTGTCGTCATCTTTGTTTTTTAAATAATTGATGTTGATCATGTAATCTAATCGTTTTTTTAACCTTTATTCAGTTTAATTCAAATCTTTACGTTTTTTGAAAAAAAAAACAGGATATTCATTGTTATTAAAACAAATGACTTTTTATTCCATGAAATGACTCTTAAAAAAACGGGATATTCATTGATTTATAACTACTAAATCACTCTTTGTCGTTATCTTTGTTTTTTAAATCTTTATTCAGTTTAATTCAAAAACTTCACATTTTTTAAAGAATACAATTCAAAAACTATAAATCACTCTCATTTATACAATTCCTGATACGCATTATTCTTCAACGTCGGTGATTGCTTCTCTGTTTTTTATTCTTACACAAAATGTGAGTTCAAAATATGATTTTCTGAAGGATGTTAATCCTGCCAAGGAGGACTGGAGGATTAAGGTGAAGGTGGTTCGGACTTGGAAAGTTCCTACCTTTCAGCGTAAAAATTTGGAGGACAATCTTGAAATGGTTTTATTGGATGAACAGGTTGTGTTCTGTGTTTTAAAAATCTTCCATCTTTGTTTTGATCATTTTAGTTAACGTTGTTGACATAAGTTGGCTCCATTCTTTTGTAGGGTGGTAGGATCCACGCCACTGTCAAAGGTACCTTGCAGGTGCGGAATAAAATCAACGAAGGAGAGTGCTATTTTATAAAAAAATTTGGAGTTGGATTCAATAGCGATGTGTTTAGGCCAACCAAGCATGAGTATCGTTTGTCTTTCAACTACTTGAGAACTGATGTTAAATCGATTGTTGTTTCTGATATTTGTGCGAGTGATTTTGATTTTGTTGATTATAAATCATTGAGAAAGAAACGTCTGACTCCCCTTATTTAGTCGGTAATAGATTCTTCCTCACTGTTATCCTTTTTTTAATTATTGCGGGTTTTATTTTTTTCTCATACTCTTTGCTGCCTTTTTTTAATTTTCAAACGTTATTGGTTTATTCTGTATCATGACTATTTCCTTATTTTTAAACTCTTTGCGGTTATAGTTTTGTGTTTTTAATGTTTTGTCACGAGTAATCTTATTCTGTATCATTATTTTTTTCATTAACTGTGTTTTTTATGTTTCTGTATTCATTTTTTATTATTGCATAATTTTTTTCACAAACTCTTTGCTGCGTTTTTTTTTGTAGACGTCATTGGTTTAATCTCAGGAATTGGGAAAGTTTGTGATCGTGTGGTTTCTGGTAGGAAGACAAAAATGGTGGTGTTGGAGCTTGACGACCTGAGGTACTTACAAATGTTTAGTTAAATGAATTATTTTTGTCCAGCTCTGTTAGCTTATATTTTACGCGTATTAACGTTGTGCTTGCTGCAACTCACGTGTAGGGGTCATAAGTTGGAGGGCACTTTGTGGGAGCATTATGTGGATGAGGTCCAATCTTTTTTGGCAGACAACGACGATCCTCATAACGTCCTGATAGTCCAACTGGGAAGGATTAAGTGTTTTAGAGGTATGTTTTTTCCAAACAACGTTGTTTTAATTTTTGCTTTTATAATCAGTTTTTATGCACGTTATTTTAATTAATTTTTCTTCTGTATTCAATGTTTATCTGAACCTTTTAACTCAATAGGTAAGGTCGGGATAACAAATACAAAATATATAACAAGGATTGTAATGGATTCAAAACTGAATGAGATTGTTGAGTTCAAAAAATGGTGTGTACCTTCTTTCTTCAGCTCATTTATTCGGTTATTGATGAATGGATTTTCATATTTTTTTGATTTTTTAATTATTAATTTTTGCGTTATAGTCTCTCGATTGATGGTGTGGAAAGTAGTACAAGGATGACTCAATTGTCTACTCAGTCATCCTATTCTTTCGAAAATGATTTTCTTAAGGAGACTGAAAAAAAGTCTATCAGTGATGTGAAACTTTGTGTTGAGGTAAATGTTCAAATTATATTTTTACTTTTCTTTAATTCTTACTTTCCTTTAATTCTGTCAATTTTGTATTGATGATATTTTATGTTAAACTGCGATTGCTTTAATTAAGGTAACTACCTGCATCACATACGGGACTATAAAGGCAATTGAGAGCAAATACAACTGGTGGTACAAGTCATGCAAAAAGTGTCCATTTTCCGTTTATGAGGATTTTGAGAAGTGGTATTGTAAGAACTCCATAAAACATTGGGAAGATTATTATCCGAGGTAAAATATTCTTCTTAGTTTATAGCCTGTCTTTCTCACTCTTTGAATCTTTTATTAACCTCGTGATTCAGTTGAATCAGGTATGAGTGTTTTGTTATTAGAAAAAATGACTGTTTTATTCCATGAAAATCTCATTTATAACTACCGAATCACTCTTTTGACGTCATCTTTGTTTTTTAAATCTTTATTCAGTTTAATTCAAAAACTTTACATTTTTTAAAGAAGACAATTCTATTTCCTCGAAAAAAAAAATAATTAGTAAAAAAAAAACACTCATACATATCCCGACCTTTGTTCCTTATTTTTAGTTTTTTAAATTTGAATCTTTTATTAACCTCTTGATTCAGTGGAATGAGGTATGAGTGTTTTGTTATTAAAACAAATGACTGTTTTATTCCATGAAAATCTCATTTATAACTACTAAATCACTCTTTTGTCGTCATCTTTGTTTTTTAAATCAATGGTCAAGATTGCTTATTCGTTTGTGTTTATTAATGTATTCGTTTGTTCTTTTTAAGTAGGTTCTAATCGTTTTGTTTTTTTAATCTTTAATCAGTTTAATTCAAAAACTTTACATTTTTTAAAGAATACAATTCTATTTACTCGAAAAAAATTAATTAGTAAAAAAAATACTTATATATATCCCGACCTTTGTTCCTTATTTTCATATTTTTAAATTTGAATCTTTTATTAACCTCTTGATTCAGTGGAATCAGATATAAGTGTTTTGTTATTAGAAAAAATTTCTGTTTTATTCCATGAAAATTTCATTTATAACTACTAAATCACTCTTTTGTCGTCATCTTTGTTTTTTAAATAATTGATGTTGATCATGTAATCTAATCCTTTTTTTAACCTTTATTCAGTTTAATTCAAATCTTTACGCTTTTTGAAAAAAAAGGGATATTCATTGTTATTAAAACAAATGACTGTTTTATTCCATGAAATGACTGTTAAAAAACCGGGATATTCATTGATTTATAACTACTAAATCACTCTTTGTCGTTATCTTTGTTTTTTAAATCTTTATTCAGTTTAATTCAAAAACTTCACATTTTTTAAAGAATACAATTCTATTTACTCGAAAAAAAATTAATTAGTAAAAAAAAAAAATTATACATATCCCGACCTTTGTTCCTTATTTTCAGATTTTTAAATTTGAATCTTTTATTAACCTCTTGATTCAGTGGAATCAGGTATGAGTGTTTTGTTATTAGAAAAAACTTCTGTTTTATTCCATGAAAATCTCATTTATAACTACTAAATCACTCTTTTGTCGTCATCTTTGTTTTTATAATAATTGATGTTGATCATGTAATCTAATCTTTTTTTTAACCTTTATTCAGTTTAATTCAAATCTTTATGTTTTTTGAAAAAAAAAAAGGGATATTCATTGTTATTAAAACAAATGACTGTTTTATTCCATGAAATGACTGTTAAAAAAACGGGATATTCATTGATTTATAACTACTAAATCACTCTTTGTCGTTATCTTTATTTTTTAAATCTTTAATCAGTTTAATTCAAAAACTTTACATTTTTTAAAGAATACAATTCTATTTACTCAAAAAAAATTAATTAGTAAAAAAAAAACACTCATACATATCCCGACCTTTGTTCCTTATTTTTAGATTTTTAAATTTGAATCTTTTATTAACCTCTTGATTCAGTGAAATAAGGTATGAGTGTTTTGTTATTAGAAAAAATTTCTGTTTTATTCCTTGAAAATCTCATTTATAACTACTAAATCACTCTTTTGTCGTCATCTTTGTTTTTTAAATAATTGATGTTGATCATGTAATCTAATCGTTTTTTAACCTTTATTCAGTTTAATTCAAATCTTTACGTTTTTTGAAAAAAAAAACGGGATATTCATTCTTATTAAAACAAATTACTGTTTTATTCCATGAAATGACTGTTAAAAAACCGAGATATACATTGATTTATAACTACTAAATCACTCTTTGTCGTTATCTTTGTTTTTTAAATCTTTATTCAGTTTAATTCAAAAACTTCACATTTTTTAAATAATGCAATTCTATTTACTCGAAAAAAATTAATTAGTAAAAAAAAATATATATACATATCCCGACCTTTGTTCCTTATTTTCAGATTTTTAAATTTGAATCTTTTATTAACCTCTTGATTCAGTGGAATCAGGTATAAGTGTTTTGTTATTAGAAAAAACTTCTGTTTTATTCCATGAAAATCTCATTTATAACTACTAAATCACTCTTTTGTCGTCATCTTTGTTTTTATAATAATTGATGTTGATCATGTAATCTAATCGTTTTTTTTAACCTTTATTCAGTTTAATTCAAATCTTTATGTTTTTTGAAAAAAAAACGGGATATTCATTGTTATTAAAACAAATGACTGTTTTATTCCATGAAATGACTGTTAAAAAAACGGGATATTCATTGATTTATAACTACTAAATCACTCTTTGTCGTTATCTTTGTTTTTTAAATCTTTAATCAGTTTAATTCAAAAACTTTACATTTTTTAAAGAATACAATTCTATTTACTCGAAAAAAATTAATTAGTAAAAAAAAAAAACACTCTACATATCCCGACCTTTGTTCCTTATTTTCAGATTTTTAAATTTGAATCTTTTATTAACCTCTTGATTCAGTGGAATCAGGTATGAGTGTTTTGTTATTAGAAAAAATTTCTGTTTTATTCCATGAAAATCTCATTTATAACTACTAAATCACTCTTTTGTCGTCATCTTTGTTTTTTAAATAATTGATGTTGATCATGTAATCTAATCGTTTTTTTTAACCTTTATTCAGTTTAATTCAAATCTTTGTCGTCACTCTTTTGTCGTCATCTTCGTTTTCTCTCTCTCTGTTTTCCTCTTTCATACGAATTTGATGGAAACCATTCTTTAAGTCTAGTTTAGAAAAAATACAAAACCCAGATATTTCATCAAGCAATTTATCTATTATAGAATTCGAGAACCTATCAGGAACAATCATCTTATTCATCTCCTATAGTCCACACACACCCTCCAGCTATTATTATTTTTTAACTAAGATCACAATATTCAAGTTGAGGCTTACGCTTAGCATCATCATTCCAAAATTTAGAAGTTCAGAAGAAGAAAAAAATATCAATCTCTTCTTTCTGATCAAATGGATACATCATACATGTATGGCTTGATGTTGGGCACTTCGCTGCCAGGTTGGAGAACAATTGCTGTTGGAAATGGACAATCACACAAATCGAAAACGAAAAAGAAAAAGAGAGAGAATAGACACAACGATTTACCCTGCTTCACCCAATATAGGCTACGTCCAGCTTGTCTGTACTATATTCACCTCACCGCCACTCGTTACAAGTCACTCGGTTTACAAGGAAAATATAAATAGGATTAGAAAACCCTAACAGTAGCTATTTATGGGCCCAAACTCAAACTGCTAAGAAAATTACAATAAATCAGAAGCCTACAATAGTACCTAGTCTCTACGGGTCGAGGGGCGCTGCCCACTGGACCCCCGCCCGCTCACTTGGAAGCGGGACTCTGGTTACCTTTCTGCTGACCTCAACAATTAAGACCCTCATCAGCATGCGAAGTATGAGTCATACTCAACCATTGCATGGTCTTTGCTTCACTTTGGAGGCAACCCAGTTGGAGTCGCAAACACATCCTTAAATTCCTTCAGCAACTAGTTTAATTCCAACCAACCAAAATGATCATCTAGTTCTCAAACCAATTCCTCTCTTGGATGTAAAATGAACCCTTGCCTTTTATCTTTAATTAGCATTCACCAACGACTTCAAAGAAGCCAAGGAACAAGTCAACTTTGGCTCCGCTCAAATGAAAACTCTCTTGCCCTCTTCCTTATATTCCAAGGTGAGCTCCTGAAAATTAGCCTTAACATTATCAATCCTTGTAGCCAATCTAACCCAAAAACGACGCCAGCGCCATGGATGAGCTTTGATACCAATTTGTAACAATCAAACTCACAATTCACAAGGAAAGTTAAGATAGAAAAAAAAAAAACAATATATGTATATTCCAAATTAGTATTAGACTTACCCTATAATGACAGTTTCACCAACGAAATATGATGTTCACAAATTACAAGAAAAAAGGAAAAATAACATGGATAGGTTCAAGAGAATTAGAGTGCCCTTGATTTCTTGCACAGTCCAAGTCCCAAAAAGATAATCTCTTGTTCATCTTCATTAACTATTTACTAACAGACTACACACAATCTGTTGGATCTACTACTGAGTTAGCATTATTACGGTTAAGAGTGTTGGATTCTCTAAATTAACACCTATGATAGATCTTAATCTTGAGAGGGGTTCTATCAATTACTTTGATTTTAGGCAACTTTCAATCGCAAAACAAAGACAAGATTACTTTCCTTTATTTTATAATTCAATGTGCAGAAGTGGAACAACCAATACAAGATATGCTCACTTAAAAGGATCAATGCAAAACCAATTTCTAAATTTAACAATGATCAGTCACAACCTTCAAAATCATATAACAACCCAATATGGCTGAATGTAAAAGATAAGGGATGAAGAAGAATACATCAAGAAAGAACATTTAATTCAAAAAATATACATATCTATATATACAGGAAGTGGACCCCCAAAATAATAATAAAATAATAATAGTAATAATAATAATGAAAATGAAAATGACAAAAAGCAAAGATTTTCCATTTTTTTGGAAGGTGCAAGAAAGATTTTCCTTTTGAAATCTGAGAATTCAAAGAAAATGATTGGATAAATTAAAAAAATGAAAGTTTTGGAAGACTACTTTGGTAACCCTTACCATTTCCTACACTGAACAAACTCCTAACAAAGTATTAGTAATTTTTGCCTTCCCATTTACACCCATTTCCAAGGAAGCAGGGACTATGATACTGCAGAATCACAGTAATGCCATCTTCCCATGCCACTAAACGAGTTGAAATTAATATAAAGAAGACATAGTACATATCTATTTGTAGATGCATGGCGCCAAGTTTTACTATGGTATCGGTAATGCCTGAGCTATTAAGTTGTAAATGGGAATAAGCATATTGGAAATGCAAGCTAGGCAACAAAAAATGAAAAGTAAAATAAAAAATGAATATAAATAATTATACATGGCACTATCGCATATTTAAGTTGAGTCTGCCAAAAAAAAATTTGCTTCTCTACAATAGTGTAAGCTATTCACCCTATACAGCAACACTACAATCACCTTTCTGTGAAATATCCTCATGAGTTTCTATGGAAGAATGTTGAGACACTTCTATTGCTGCTTTAGTAGATGGCGTTTCACTTTCAGTGTTAATGTGGGAAAGTTGAGAATTAACAAGATTGTCAGTTGGATTGCTTTGTTGTTGGTCAACCACACTTGACTCACCAAGTTGTGTGTGATTGACCTCTGCAACAGCATCTGAAACCATCGTGTCATTGATCATGTGACTTGCATCACAAGTTTGTAAATTATCAATCACCATATGATCACAATGTTGTACCTCATGAACCTCATTGGCTGCATTAAGTTCATCAATATTTTCCTCACCAGTCATATGGTTAAGCTCCTCCTTAATTACCTCACCAGCTTCGCGCTTTAGTTCTTCATGGTTAAACTCAGCAGCTATATCATCTGGCTCCTCGTTATTTTCTTCACCAGCTGCATAGCCTAGCTCTGATTGATCAACCTCAAGGTGTGATGTATCACAGAGCTGCAGATTCTCACCATCAGCATCTGCATGAATCAACTGGATAGAACTAACTGCACTGTCTACAGTACATAATTGCGCGTCATCCATCTCTCTATCAATATGACTTAGATGCAATTGGCCAACCTCAATAGCAGTGCCATAGAACTGAGTTTGTTCATCCTCACTAACAGCATTATATTGGATTGCACCATCCTTCCGCACTCGTTTACCTACCCCTTTTCTTCTAACCCTCTCCTTTCCTCTAACCCTTTTTCCGAGTTCAGATTGTGGGCTGGCTGATACCATGACCGGACCGCCAATTTGGTCTCTTAAACATTCATGGGCAATATATCTTATCCTAGATATTGATTCAATTTGTTGTGGATCAAGACCTTTTGTTGAAAAGGTATCTGCTATGTGGGCAATATCCCTCAGACCAGCATTCTGCAAACATTTGTTTAATTTCTTTAAAAAGCATATCAAACTTATCTATAATTGCTATAAGATGCAAAACTAAATTCATGAAACATATCCTTACCGTTCTCTGAAATTCAGATGACAGAGAAATAGGCCTGCCAATGAACTTTCGAGTAATTCTCAAATACCACTCCATGTACTCACTTTCATCTACACCTTCGTCCCCATCAACAATATGCAGCTGACGGTCCATCCATTCATTAAGCTCTGATTCCATTTTCCCCGACAAATCAACCCCGCCATCAACTCCTCTACTCTTCCTCTCCCAACGCTCCACATCATCCGGAATCGATTGAAGCATGCCATATTGCCTTAAGCATCGGTTTGGAAGATGTCTTTCTGCCTTGTCAAAGCATATCAACATTGTCCTTGACCTCCCAAGAATTAAAGTGCTTTTGATATGGTCTGGAATCACCATACTGTCCATGTTTCGGTAGGGGAGCCACTCCACCTGTACATTTGTGCTAGTAAAACTGGATTCTATTTTTAAATTATATCAGAATATTACCAGATCAGATTAAACACACATGAAGATAAGACTTACATCACATGGTTTTAGGGAATCCAAAGCCTTCCGATAAAAAACTACATCACGATTTGCAGTTGGGCCACTTTGTTTTCCCTTCCATCTAAGCACAAATGGAAATCGATCATGCATCAGATCAAGATTGAGCTTTGGTCGCCCAATATTTAGGTGAAAGTAACTCCAACACTGCAAATACATAATAACCAATTAAATCAGCATCTTGAAGAAAGGAAAAATGCAGTTTGAAAGGAAAGGATGAAGATAGAAGAGGAGCACATTTAAATTACCTGCAGTAGTGTTAAACAGCCACTAATGGTGCTTTGAGTTTTCAGTGAGGCATTGCCCAAGGCTCTATACAAGAATGCCAATGCTGCTGCACCCCAGGCATATTGCCCACATCTATCAAAATTCTCAAATAATGGCAAGTACATTACAGGGACTTTATTCCCTGTGGTGGTGGAGAATATGGTGCTACCTACAAGATAAAGAAGATAAGCACGGGTATGTTGCTCTATCACTTCAAATGGAGCATCTTCAGGACAACGAGAAAAGAACTCTTTCAACCAACTTAGCTTCACCATTCCACCACTTGTGTAACCAGATTCTGGTGATCTGCCAAGATATCTATCACAAACTGAACTGCATGCAGTATATGTAATACCTATTACAGGCTCTCCATCAATTGCCAGCCCAAGCAAGAGCGCAACATCTTTAAGGGTTACCGTCATTTCACCAACATTCAAGTGAAAAGTATTTGTTTCTCTTCTCCACCTTTCAACTAGACCAGAGATAAGAGGATTGTCTAGACTAATAGCTGGAATTGACCTTAAGAATCCAAACCCAGCCTTCTCTACCAATTCAACCTGTTTAGGAGTAAGTGTCCACTGATCAAGCTTTGAAGTGTGTTCATGACATCTGAGGGCACCACGCTCCTGTTATTAATGAGAGAACAATTATACAAATAATCAAGCTATTCACAGCATTTTTTCAGAAAAGAAAATGAAATGAAAGATGAAGCAGAAAGGCTTGTCAGCTAGCAAACTGCACCTGTCCATCCCAAACTGCTGTGGATACATGCTTGTCCTGGTCATACAGAACTGAACCATCAATTGGACCTGGAGTAGTTGCGTATGGGTCCACTGTTCCCACTTCCATTACTATGACTGATGACCAACATCCAAGAAAGCAGTAAAATAAGAAACAGGAACCTCACATTTTCTTAATTTGTTTCAAGTTTATCAATAATAAAGGGAGGAATACAATGGTCAAGGATAATGCAAACTCTTTAAAGAAAAAAGACTAAAGAAGGTAACAAAACTCGTCAATACATATAGGAACAAAGCCTAGATATATTGAGGATTAGTAGCCCCAAGGTTCAAAGTTATTAACCCATAAACAACCTGTTCAAGTACACAGTCATATCATATGCGAAAATTAATAAAATGGCAAGCCCTGAAGTACAAGGTTCCCTGACTTTGCGAGTGTACGGGTGATGGTCGATTGTATGCAGTCTTACCCTTAAATATTTTGCAAATAGGTTATTTCCTAGACTCAAACCCGTGACCTTCCATTCCAAGGCTTGCCCTCATATGTGAAAACTTAATCAGAAAAATTATTACTGTTGAATTGAAATAATTTAAGGATGTCCAAACATGAAACTTGACAGAAGTCCAGGACAATAAGAAGGATTTTTCTTATTTTCCACTGCTCATGTTTCTTGACAACTAAGATAAAAAAAAAAAAAAAAAAATTAAGATGAACTTTCTTTACCAGGAAAAATGAAGGTTTTATTCTGCGGATTTTAGGGATGGATCCTTTCTGTAATCTAAAGGTAAGTGATTGATAAGAAGAGCATAAGCCTCAGCGTTGACTGCCATCTATTCCTGCTTCATTGAGCTTACAAATTTCTCTTTCCTTGTATGAACAGCATTTTGAGGGAAAATTGCCACAGCAGAAAATCTGAGGAAACGCAATGTTAATGCAGTGAGTTAATAAATAATACATGAGCAAGATTACAAGCACCCAAGGTTGTCAAACTCGAGAGTCTACGCAAACTCGGAAGTGTGACCCAAAATCGTAAATCATAGAATCGTAACACGGATCGTAGCATCATAATACGGGATACAAATTATATTTATATATATTTATATGCATATAAAGTAATATAATAAGCAGAATTAATTCAACCAACCAGCAAAATAATGTCATACAATAGTCATAATCAAGAAAAGGAGTACTATTAATACCACTTGAAGACATTTTCTAAAAAAATACAATATTCAAATTCACAAAAAAAATAAAAAATTAACTACAATTTAATTGGTCCAGCAGCAAGCAATATTGAGAAAGCATGACTAATCTGATCTTTCAATCTAGACTAATTTGATTTTTCAATGTGGACTAATTTGATTTTTCAAGTAAATTAAAAAGGATATACAAAAAAAAAAGGAAACAGAGGCAGAAACAAGAAAAGAAAAAAAAGACTAATTTGGTTTATCAAATTAAAAAAATTCGGTTAAGTAATAAATAACAGAGGCAGAAGCTGAAAGTAAAACGAGAGAAAACAAAAAAAATATCGACGAAGCCTGCTTTGGTAAACAGATGCATAAACAAAGCGAAACAGAGGCAGTCAGGCAACGCATAAAAGATTGAGAAAGAACACCACCCTGCGACGGCGAAGGCACAACGGTGAATCCTGGGAACGGAGAACGAAGACGAAGCTGCGGACAGAGCACATGGAGAACGCACGCAGAGGGACGACCGGAGTCGGAGAAGACGGTGGAGCGCAGCCAAGCCCGATGGTGGACTCGTCTCTCACTGAGCAGGAACGGGAGCAGCTTCCTCCAGGTGTTTAGGGTTTTTTGCATTGAAAAATCCCATTTATTCGATGGATTTCGGGTCAAAAAATTCGGGTCCATGGGTCAGAACGTTTTTGGTGGAATCGTTTTACTCGTACGAGCTTACGAGTTTGCCAAAAAACACGGCGTCTCTAACGAGTCAATGCCAAAAATGAGTTTATGGTGAATCGGAATCGTTGAGGGTGTTTAGAAGCATAAAATCGTACGAGTTTACGAGTTTACTCGCGAGTTTGACAACCATGCAAGCAACAGTAAGTTAATGGATCATCATCTATTGCTCTGCCCAAAAGCCTGAAGGGCTTAGAATAAAGCTATTGCCAAGTCATCCTGATTTGAAACATTCTGATTTTTACTTTCAGGAGAGTCATCATGACTTAAGTAGTAAGAATTTGATATACTTATCAGAGACTGAAGTGGGTCCTTCAGGAGGATTAGAAACTCTTTATTCTCTAAAAAATAACATGTCATAGGAAATAGAGTGCGGCATAGAAATCACACCAACGAAAAGAAATATAATGATAAATTTTTGCAGTATTTGGTTGAAGATTTGTGATGTTATGTTGTTATTAACATTAAGCAATATGTGGCCTTCCAATAAGAACATCTTATAGGGGAGATAGCTTAAAAATAGATGATCAACAATGACAAGCAACAGGTGGTTTTGGTTTGCTGGCTAGACATATGAATTTGCATAAATTGCATCCTATAATCATTGCAGTTACCAGCTGGAAGTATATGGATAACAGGAGTTCAGATTCAAGCAATAGTGATGAATGGTGAGCGGTACATAGAGGAAAATAAAGGTGGAAGTATTGAACATGACTTCAAAAACAGATTTTACTTTTCAGCAACAAGCTATTTTCTGCCATTTTGTAGAACCTCCCCCACCCCCACCCTAACCAAAAAAAAAAAAAGTATAAATAAATAAATAAATAAAAAACTGCCCAAAAAAACATTTTAATTTTCACAGGAACACCAAACATTAGAAAACATGAAAAAAAAGTCAACAAGAGATTGTTTTCCATCTAATATGTACTTTGAAGATTCAGCAGACAACGTTTAGTATTTATCTTGTTGCCTCAAATGCTCTAGATGTAAAGCTTTCTCACTTTGGGTCATGCGACATTGGACAAAACAGGAAAATTATTGATATTACCACAAACTGCAAAAAATAAAACTAAAAAGAAAGACATAATAAATGTGAGCTATACCTGGAGAATTAATGAAAATAGCATGCCCTTGAGTCTCTCATCCTATCTTCCTCACCCACTACATTCGGTACTTTATTTGACCAGTTCCCCTCTTTGTCTCCTTTTATTGGTCACAAGCCAATTTCATGGGGAAAAAACGAGTAGCTTCTGAGATGTGGTTCACCTCCCACACCTCTCCCTCATAAAACTAAATCCAGGAAAGACATCTTAAACTTTCTGTACCAAAAGTTAGACATTTTCAAAGCATTTTACTTTCATTTAAACCACAGAAAGGCACAATTCTTATACAAGAAGCGTAAAACTAGAGAAGTTTTAAGAATAACTTCGAACTGTTAGGGTTCAACTCAACAAGTATACGGATAGAAAGTTCATTTATTTGCTCATTAATTTATTGAATACCAGCTTTCTTAAATCCTATCAGCTTAGTCTTCCTTGAGGCTTGAACTTAACATGAATCTTCAACTTAAAAAGAAAACCTTATTTTCCCTCATATAACTCCAGAATTCCAACATTTTCAACTTCCTATCTCATTTCAATATTCTGGACCAAACCTTACAATTCCTCCTTAAACCTTAACTCCCACAGCTCATTTCACTCAAAACAAACAGTGTATTCTCCCTCAAAGCTCAAGCTCAACAACTCAACATACCAAACCTTCTCCCAGAACACTTCAACAATCAGCTTTAAGCAACAATAACATTATGGGCATCACAATTTTCCTCAAAATGCAAACCCCATCAACCAAAATTGCCTCTCCACACCAAAAACACACGGCAAACAGTGAATCATGCAAAACAACCCCTACCCCATAAAAAAAGATGCAAACTTTTAGCAAATTCAACACAAGGGCCTAACTGGGTATCATAAAAAATATTCACAGAGAAGAAGCAATTGGGTCCCACTGGGATTTGGGACCCCAGAGAGAGAAAGAGAGAGAGAGAAATGGATAAGGGAGGAATAGCACAAGAAATGGTAAGAAGAGATCTGCATGGGCTTTTGGTTTGGAATTGCATTGCGTTTAGAATAAATTAAATAAAACAAAGAAAAGTGATGAGAGAGAGAGAGAGAGAGAGAGAGAGAGAGAGAGGCTTACAGTGAATGAAGGAGAACACGATACGACTTCCACCGTCGTCGTCGCTTGGCTTAGCAATTAGCACAGATTTGAGGGCAACAACACAAAAGGGTATGTGCGGAACTGTGGAGGGGGCTTGGTTTCCTCAACTGGGGTTATATTTGGGCTTGAGCCCAGATTAAGGCCCAAGCTATATTACAACATGTCAGGACTTCATCCATGTGCTTGTTAGAGGGCCCAACAATTATGTGGTCCAAGATCCATGATTTAGATTTAATAGTTATTGCACGTTTTTGGCATGGCCTCAAAAGACTTCTTTTCAACAAAATTTTGTTAATTATCAATTATAAAAATAAGCATATCTTGGATAAGGGAAATGTTATACTTACAACCTATTTTTGTTTACAATCTTTTACAACCATAATCTTAACCGTTGATTTCCGCCAATCAACGGTTATTATTTTTATAAATTAAATTAATTAATTAATTATTAATTCGCAATAAATGATAATCGTTGATTGGCAGAAATCAACGGTTAAGATTATAATTGTAAAAGGTTGTAAACAAAAACAGGTTGTAAGTATAACCTTCCTCCAGAACAGTGTGAGTTAATGTTTTTTTCTATTAAATCCTCGTAGAATAGTGAATTAATGTTTGTTAGATTTTGAATTGGATCCAAATTTAGATACAAGTTATTAGAGAACCTTAGAGAGAGTGCTTAACTTGTGTAGAAATGTGGTGCCAAAAAAATTATTGACACATTCAACAAACATGTCATTAAATTGCATATCATGAAACGATATTTCCAAATTCTCACTCATGTTAAGTTTTTTTTTTTTCGGAAACTTCATTTATTTGAAAGCTTCAAATTTAAAACATTGCCAGGAATCAATTTAAAGAAATTTAAATTTTAGGGAAAAAACCAAAATATGAAAAACTTTCAGGCACTCAAATGCAACATAATTATAAGTTTATGATCTCAGGAATAAGTAGTCAATTTTGAGTGATGTAAGGAGACAAGGTTGAATTTTTCATTTTAGTTGTTTCATGCAAAGGAAAAACGTTTAGGTTGTGTCATGTACACTTCCTAATAGTAACACCCTGTTTTTAATGGGAAAAGTGTTTGTTCTTTTAAATGACATAACTTATGTAATTTTACTTTCACAAAGAGGTGAGACCCACACCTTTATTTTTTTTGTCCACTCTCTTTCTTTCATGATTTATCTCTTCCTCTCACTTAAAATGACACACACTTTTCCCATTTTTAATACACAAAATATTACACACTTATGGTACAGATGCACACTTAGGATTCGTTTGGATGAGCCTTTGAAAAAATTACTTTTTATGCATTGTTTTTTTTTTTAAAGAATTTTTTTAAAAGGTAAAGTTATTTTACGTTTGGATGTATGATTTGAAAATCACTTTTATATAAAAAAAAGTTATTTGGATGTTAAAAAACACTTTTATATATAAAATTACAAAAAGTGTAACACCCCGTGTATACCCGGTTTATTATCATATCATTGTATTAAACTACGCTTAATTAAATGCAGAATTAACTTTTTCTTTTCAATTATGACGTCATTAATATTAACCAAGTTGATTAATTAATCCTTTTTCAGAAAACATTGTCTGTATGTAAATTGCAAATAAATAGCTAACTACACTAAATAACCTCATTACATAAATATAAATAAGTGTCCGGACCATAATCCTGATACATTATACAACTCGAATCTAAAATCAACAAAGTCAAATCAATGTGGCATAGAGAATTCTCATGCTCACCAAATAAGGCAGCAAGGCCCAACAGAGTCTCAAATCAAATAACATGATACTAAATATGGAACATGTCAGAATCCAAACATATCATCATAAAAGCGTAAATCTCAACTCAGCTCTGGCCTCCTGCCGTCCGAGGTATCAACCCTCGAGTTACCTGAACCTGAAAATGTGCCCCAAACGTGGGGTGAGATCTCTAAATAGAAATCTCAGTAAGGCAAGGGGTCCTCAAGGATCTCTCCACCCCAAGATCACTTACATGTGCAATATAAGTTCTAAAAGCAGTAAAACAATATAAGTTCCAAAATCAGTGCAATGCAGCAGATAATCATGTCATGTGTGTCAATATCCTACTGGCCAGAGAAATGCAGGAATTACATACGTCTATAACCTACAATCAGTGCAAGACACCACTTGCACCCACCCACAGAGTCACCCTGTTGTATGTCTCCACATAATCATGCTTACCGTCTAGGTGGCCCAACACATGCATATCATAAAGCACTTGCACATAACGGCTCAACAACATTTCAAATATCAATGCATGAAAACACATCATGCATATAAACCATCCCTCCATGAGGTATGGTGGAACCACACATAAGCAAAATCGAGGACACGAAAGCTTTTGAAGATTCAATATTTAAAAATGGCGCACTTTTTTTGCCACAGATTTTGTGAGGAAAGTGAAAAAAATATTTTTTGCGCTTTTTTAGGAATTAATATTTAAAAAATGATGTTCATTTTTTGTGATGGAATATGTTTTCATCGCAGTCCTGCCAATTTGAAGTGTGTATTCTTGGGGGATAATGATGCATATTTAGTAATTGTCAATAAGGAATTATCTCTCAAAGAATAAGCGAAGCTTGTGATCATGTTGCAGAAACATAAGTCTGCAATTGGCTAGTCATTCTCTGACTTGAGAGAAGTCAGCCCTTCTTTTTGCACTCACAAGATTATGATGACAAACTATGTGAAGCCAGTTCGTCAACCACAAAAGAGATTGAATCCAACAATGAAAGAAGTGGTCAAAAAGGAAGTAGTCAAACTTCTAGATGCTGGCATGATTTACCCCATTTCCGACAATGCATGGGTGAATCCAGTGCAAACAGAGGCTAAAAGCCCAACTTGAGTTATCTCAAGGTGTGGGGTTGTCCAGCTTATGTCAAGACTCTAGCACCGTATAAGTTTGGGACTAAAAGCACCTTGTGCTACTTTGTAGGCTATCCTAAGAAAACTCAGGGATACTACTTTTACTGCCCTGAGGACTACAAAGTGTTTGTGTCCAAAAATGCTACCTTTCTTGAGGAGGGTCTACTCTCTCAAGTAGATAGTGGGAGTAAGGTAGAATTTGAAGAAATTCAAAACCTACAGGAACAGATAACAAAGCCCGAGTCTATTGATCAAGTGATGCCTCAACTAGAGGCTGTAGACACCTAGCCTCATAGGACTTTTAAGGCTAGTCGTCCACCTGAGATATATGGTTTTGTGATTAAGAATCAATAAATTGTTGAGGATGACGAGCCTACTTCATACACTGAGGCGGTCAAGGATGTTGACTCCTCAAAATGGCATAAAGCCATGGAATCCGAAATAGATTGGTGCATCAGAACAAGGTATGAACCTTGGCTCCATCACCTGAGGGAATAGTTACTATTGGGTGCAAGTGGGTATTCAAGAAGAAGACTGATGCTTATGGCAACATCGAAACCTATAAAGCTAGGTTAGTTGCAAAGGGTTACCGTCAAAGGCAAGGCATTGACTTTGTGAAAACCTTCTCACCCGTTGCCATGATAAAATCTATTAGGATCATGCTAGTCATAGTCGCGTATCATGATTATGAGGTTTGGCAGATGGATGTCCAAACCGCCTTCTTGAATGGTTTCTTGAAGGAGAAAGTGTATATGATACAACATCAAGGATTTGAATTGGAGCGGAAATGGAAAATTCGCATAAGATCCTAACCGTTGATTTTCGTCAATTAATGGTTATAATTTATTAGGTCAAACTTAATCGCAATAAATTATAATCATTAATTGATTGAAATCAATGCTTAGGATTTAAATGACACAATATTATATCTTTTAAAAGGATAAACGTTTTTCCTTTCATTTAATTGCCATAAATTAGAGATCTAAGCTGTAAAAACATTGAGAGTTAAATTTCTAATACAGAGAGAAACTTTCTTTCTTTCGCTGTAGGAGAGAATCATCTATCATCTATAAACAATAAATCTAATATCCATTTCTTCAACCCAAAAACAAAGAGAGAAATCCATCTCTCTTTTCACTTGACTTTAGCATAAAGATACTCGTATCATTGAATTATCTCAAGTCTTTAGCTTATAGGCATTGGAATTTTACCCCAAAATTTGGTCGTCCAACAATCACATTATATTATGACAACCTTTCGTTCTATCCTCGTTAAACTGTAATTATAAAAATAGAATGATTGTCGGATGAAAAACTAATTTCTGTGTAGAACAATTAACCGCAAGAATTTGGCTAGAAGGCAATGGTAGAGCTTTAATACACGAAGACATTGTCTTCCATGTTAGTTTTGCTTAGGTTATTGTACCAAAGTTTGGCAGTTGTTAATGAAATGAATCGGCGAGAAATAGTAATATACTAATAATACTATCATATGAACATAACACAGTAAAAGGATTATAGATCCAATTTACCACTTAACTCTTTCCATAGATGAGAAGAAATGAAAGGTTGGTGATCCAATTTACCACTATACTCCAATCCCCGTGTCCGTAGCCTCATATGGGTTCCATAATCTTGCAAGGATAAAGGTGAAAATCAATTACATGTAGTTTTACTCTTGCATTTTGATAAAGAGGCCCGTTCTCAAACTCAAATCCGTGACCTTCTGATCACAAAAAAACATCTTCACCGTTGCTTCAAGATTCATCCTCAAAATGCATATATTTAATCTCAGTTAATTGAACATATAATTATTTTGGTAAAACAAATAAACTA